GTTGCGGTCTGCCCACCAGCTCGTGAATATCCCTATTAGTAAAGGTATTACACAAACGACGCGACGTCTATATCCATGCCATTCGTCTTTACTGCGTAATCGTAAACGGCGGTCGACAGATTTGGACACAGAAATCTTCACGGTTAGACGTAATGGTGTAAACGTTAGTAAACGAAACACTGCTGTGTTGACATTATTTACGCCATCTGTATGCTTAATCTAGATTTCGTTACGATCAAGAATTGCTATTTAAAGCATTTTTTTCAGTTGTCTTTATTTTCATACTGTTTTCTGGCGAATATCATTTAGGTACATATTTCAAATATACACAAGGAAGACTGAGCAATAGTGTCGATTTCCTGGTGTGATCGCTAAGGTTCTCAAGTTACGGCAAACCGACGCTGGTAGCCATTGCGCCGAACTGCACAGTTGCACACAGGAAACCAACACATTGATACCTTGTAATTGACACGAGTGCAGTTACCACGTGCTTACTGGGCTCTAGCGAGCGATTACGTTTCGTAAGTACACAATATGACTCAACGCAATCTAGATTTAAAGCGAAATACCGAAATTAGGGAACAAACTAGTGTGTTCAGTTTTCAAGTATTACAACACGTACATAACTCATAACACTGTTTATAAAACAAGTCACTATAATTTGAATTTATATTGAACCGGTTAAAATAGTTTGTACTCCATCTTGAAATTGGGATCTGAAGAGTAACTTGCAAGTAGGTCAGGTAGTTGAGCACTTCTTGAAAATGCAAGTATTTTCATAGAAAAATAATTTGATTTACAATCAGAGCAGGAAATAGGTCGTAACTGTTTATGTACATAAACAAGAATGTAAGAAAACATGGCTAGCTAATGTCCGCAAGAAAATACGGCGGCAATTACGATCTAGCCAATGCGAGCGCCCCAGGAAGTGTCTTATAATGAAGTCGACGAGAAACAATAGTTTGATACAGGACGTCGTCGATTTATAGTGCAACTTGGCAAAGTAATTTTCTTTGTGCAACCGTGGACTTTTCGCACAGTACAATTTTACAACAACTTACAAGAAATAATTAACTCGTACAATTAACACGAAGTGCAAATATCCCGTCAGAGTCCAGTTCTACATCCGTACAATGGCAAAATTCAATACAATTAGTGGTGTTTGCAGCAACTGGAGCGTGAGAGGAATCCGGGCACGGTACAGTTCGCCGCGCAGTGCCCTGGAACCAAGTGTCGTGTCGACAGTGTCATCGCAAAATAACTACTCTATTCATCGTATACTTATTGGATACTATAAATTACTTTTTATGCTATGAGTACTTCTATCACCACTGACGGGGCCCATTAGGGCCGATGTTCAGCCGAGGTTGCGGGTCAAGCGCAATAACATACGCGGCCTCGGGCTGGAGAACAAAATGGAAGGAACGGGGTGGTTTTGAGTCAGTAAACCATCCTTGGGTCATGTAATGGGTTTTCACTTTCAAAAACGTGCATGTTAGAAATAGCCGCCTTGCCGGTCGACACAGGATCTAAGAATTTGCCATGTTTTCTTTGTAAACTAAGGTTCACAAAAATCGAATTCAAAGAAGTTATAAGAATATTTATAACCTTTACTATAAATACGCTGATTTGTTTTCAGGCCATTTCTAGATTCTTATAGTATAATTATTAGAATAACTCATTTTCGTACTTACGTATTTTGTAAATATTACTTTCAAGTAAAATATAATAATTTATTTCTATACCATTCGGAGTTGGTTTCGAGTTTGAGGAAAATTATTTAAATGAGTGCAGGTTGTAAATATGTCCGACGAGAAAATGATCAACAAAGACGTTAATAAGGTATTTTACAAAATTTAGCTAGAAGTTTTTGATTCTACTGTTCTTTGTACGTAAACAATTATTTTCTGAGCGGATTGGCATGTGATTATCGGGTATGTGAGCTACTTGCTCATCATATTAACTCTGCAAACAGTCGGGGCGTAGCGCACACCCGATGATGTCACCGCATCACCCAGCACTTGTCAACACGCAGTATTAAAAGTTAACACAACGTAAAGTATTACAGTTGGTTCTCTGTCATTCTCTAATTTAATTCCGTATTTTAGTTTTCAGATACCTTTAGGTATTTGGACGAATTAGAAGACATCAAATGGGTCTGAAAGGATCCCAACCATTTTAAGATGAACCTAATTGGGCTGAGCGGGTATACGCTCGGGTCTCTTGATCTTGTTATCATGTAGGTCATACCAGTCAGTTCAGAGGGAACTTTTTGCTAGCTTTATTGGCTTGATTGAATTATAACAGTTTTTATAGCTAAACATACTTCAAGTCGTGATGAATGAATAACGTAACTCGGTAGGACAGAATAAGATCCTTTTAAAATATATTGTGTATAATCAGATGATATTTTTTTTTGGTTGGAGTCTTGACTCTGACATCGCAAGGTCGCATTTAATTCAATAAACGTTTTTGTAAAATGAAGAAATAAAGATTAAAACAACCGTGAACGCTACTGTATATCGTCTGACTCATTAGGTGTTGGGATGAATAATAAACAAAATGTGTAGTGTAATGATAAACTAGAAACAATACATTTTGTAGTTTACCAGTAGGGTGTACGAAAACCTAATATCATAAATTATTTTACAAAACCTTTCAACGAAGGCTTTGTTTATTCTGGCATTGTTTTCGCAATATTGTATTTACTTGACGGCCTTCATAGTTTTTATTAACAACAACATCCATCCATCCATTGTTTCTTTAATTCTCATATTTATCTTTGAATATATCTATTAGTTCGCAAAATGGTGTCATTATCTTTCCTAAGTATCATCTGTTTACGTATTATTGGCTGAAGTCCCGGTAAAACGTAAATGAAATCTTTGTTCGCCTGAAGATCCTTGCGTCCAGTTTTGATCAATGACATGGTGAGTCAGAATACGGTTCGACATCTGCGACTGCGCTCTGATGTATTCTCTAAATATAGGCACAGACTTTGCGGCTGTTTAATTATACCTACGGTTTGCTCTGGTACAGTGATAAATTTAGGATGCAGAGTGTGCTAAGCCCTTTGTAGAAACCTTCCGCTTATGTGCGACCAATTAAGATTTTGCGGCAATTGCGTTGCCAAGTTTATCATTTTCCATATGGGTACCAATTACTAGCAATTAGCAGGAATAGTTTTCTTTGAATTCCTTCTCGGTAAGTACAGCACTGTGAAGTATTTTATCTATAAGAAGCTGAACATAATTAAGACTGATATGCATAATGGTGACCTATTTGTCTTAGTTGGTCACATTTACATTACTTAACCCCAGAGATAAGCTGCAGATAAGCTTGTATATCTTATAGGAGATACTTGTTCATTAATTTAAAAGAAAATGTTTATGTCATAGAAAGTACTAGCTGTAAATTATTCTTGTTTTAAATTCTCAGATATAATATTTTCAGAGTGAAATATTAAAATTAAACATTTTTAAGCTTTAAAACAGGGAGGAAAAGAAATAAGTGTAGTAGAAAACGGAATATGTTTTTTTGTTAAAGAACCTATTTATATTATTTAATTCCTTTCGGTTTATTACAATACTAGTTTACACCCATGGCTTCCCCGCACATATAAAAGTAATGTATACTGGGATTTTTTAAAGCAATAGTTCATGAAATTGCAATCAATATAAATGGCAAAGAAATCAATGTAATTTATAACCTATAGCACTTAGGAACATTGTAGCTATCTATCAGTGAAAGAATTTTGGAGATCTGACCAGACCAGCCGTTCCAAAGATTACTTACTACATACAAACTGAAAAATTTTACCTCTTTATTATATCAATATAAGAAGACCTGGAAAATACATGGATTGACTGCTCATTTATAATTTAAAATGAATTATAATTTTGACTTTTTTTCAGGTATACATTAATAATTCCAATGTCATTTACATTCTCCATATCCAAATATTAATTTGACTGTACAGTCACAATCTCCAACTCAAATAGAAATAAAATTCTTGGAATCAATAAATAATTTGATATAAGTATGTACTAATTTTCAAAGGAAATATGCAATATCTGTATGTTGTTGGATTGCAAGTCACAAGGTTTTCGAGGATGGAGGAAGTTCACTGATACTTCAAAATTCAAACTTTATTAGGAACAAATAAGAACCGAAATCAATAGATTCAATGTTGCAATAACATAAATATCATGAAGTAAATATATTTTTTTACTAAACCCAAAATGTATGTTGATTAGTTTACACACAAAAAGGATCAACAACAACCAAATTATAAGTTTCTTTGGTGTTTAATTAAACTGTAACTAGGCAATTAAGTGAAATAAGAGCATACCTAGTTAAAACATAGAAAAAATGTAATTGTGTTTTTATTAACAATACAATAGAGTTTCCATTCCCACATTATGAAAAACAAGATTAACTATGTTTAATACATTGGCTCATTCAATGTCATAAATGGGAGTCAAGCTTTTTGCACTCCATGTTCAACATGAAGCTATTTCCAGATAATGAAATACATTATTTCGTATTGGATGCATTTTCGAAATTTCTTTGTAATAATCCATACAGTATTCAGGTCTTATCAGCACAACAAAAGGTATAATGAAAATAAAAGCTATACAAAGATAAATAAATATGTCATTTATAAGTTAATGCAAATTTCTAACTACATATTTCGGTGTTCAGGTGGTGTCCAGGTTTCCCGGGAGCTATGTACCTAATTAGATTACCTACTATGAAAAGACCAGGGTAAATCATAAGTACAGTGTTACTCATATTGGGCAGGCGCAATGCAGTAGTTAGAATCGTTGAATTCTTTACGTAAATTAGTTGAACAAAAAATTGCTGCAATTTAAAGTTTGGATTTGTGTAATGCATAACGAAACGAGGACGTTCCATCCCGCCTACAATCTACAGCCTACTACCAACACCGTGACAAACACAAAGTATTTAACTAAGACGCTGAGTAATAATAAACTTACCAAAATGACGACAAACAGATAAGATGATAATATGATAAAACAGTTCTCACTTCATTATATAAATCACATTAATAAGATAGTAAATGAAATTCATAAACACATAACACATACGTCACTCCATTGACATAGGAAATATAAGGACTTGAAATACCTACGAAACAAAGGTGCATACCTACAATCCAAAATTTCGCGTAAGATGGCTGCCGTTGCTAGGGTTGTGCCGACTACGTATTTAACGAGTATCGATACAATTTGAGTATAAGTTCTACGTAGGTATAGCTTTAGGGATTAGCCAGCTGATTAACGGTATATTTTTATGGGAAATCATCTAATGTCATCTCCGGCACTTTTCGTGACAGACCGTTACTGACTAAAATCAACTCCTGTTCCTACTTTGCCGTCGGCCTAGCTAGATCCCGGAACCCGGGGTTACCTAGGTCTCTTGATTGGCTAATGATTTTCTCAAGTCGAATTTGTATCCATATAATTGTACGGAAAGCGTCTTTAAATAAAAAAAAAACATACAATCGAATTGAGAAACTCCTCCTTTTTTTGAAGTCAGTTAAAAAATAGGACTGTGTTTATGAACAGCGTTTAATGGAATGGTAAAATAGAAAAAGATAGTTTTTGTTAAATGTTTATCCGCCGAAATATGGGGCCCCTTAAATGCGTATGTGCAACACCTGTCGGAATTTGTGATGTGCTCGCGCACAATTTCGGCTCGTCTGATTAAGCGATGATATCTTCGAAACTACATTAGCATAAAATAGATAAGTAGTGAAGTCAATCTTACTGTATGTATCTCACTTTTTATTATTAAGCTTAGTGGTCGCACTGGGATCGCCGCCAACGCTGCTCTGTCAATCGGGCCCGGATAATTATAAAACATGACAATTTGAACTTCTACTTATGTAACTAAAACCAATACCAAAATACTGACGTCTTACTTTAGCCTTACACAAAATAGATTATTTAGGATAATATATTATGTTGAATTTTAAATGGGAGATTATATCGATACTTTTGTGGAATGGTACGTAACTATGCCATATTGACATATTATTGTAAACAACAATTTTTTACTTAAACTGTCTCACAGACAGAAATAGAAGTAAATATATATACTTTGGCAATAGATTCAAGTATCCGTAACATTTTTTCTATCTATGTGGATTATTTTAAGTAATATTTGATGAAAACTGTTTACTAACCTATGCAAAGACAATTTAGGTTGATTTTCGTTCTTTTTTGCACCACACTGCACAATACAACACACAGGCATATTGTATTTTTGTTTCACTATATATCTTTGCAGTTTAAAACAATGGTTCTTTGTAATTTACTGGAAAACCGCAATAATTGAAAACATAAACAACCGTTTGACAGCACAACTACCATGAAACTCAGGTACTCTGAGCGCTTAAGATGGCGGACATGGCACTTACCTACAACTTTGCTAATGTCAAAATGATTTGTTGCCATAATAAGCAACAACTTAAATATTGTTGTCCCTTTTGTCTAATACAATTATTGCCTAAGAAAGAGTGAGAAAAAACTATATTTCATAGTTTGTTTCATATTTAACCCATATTTGTATAAGCAGGTATACATCTATAATAACAGGGCGCCTCTATATATTTTCTATCTCAATGCGTCACTCAGAGATCCGCCATTTTATAAATTTTAAAGTTTTTATTGTCGTAGCTACGATTTAGACTATGGCATTTACATACAGCCTACTGTACTAAAATATGCGATCAATACTTTTAATAATATTATCTTCAGTAATATAAAAATAACGATTTTATTTTAGAATTATATTCCATTTTGCTATTTTAATACTATTGAATCAATCACAACAGTTCAACTTTAAAAAAACTTGAGCAGTTATAAAGATTATAGAAAATATTCTTTGAGAGAGAAGTAGAACAAATGATAATTGTTAAAACATTGTTACTGAGAATTCAAATATGAGTAAGCATATTTAAGAGCACTAAATGAAATATACACAATAGACAACACCAAATTATTTATTTACACTGCAGATAACGCCATCTTTTGGACTGTACCATAATACAAATCTGACATAATATTTCGACTGACTTTGATTGACATTTTGACACTTGTCAGTTAGACAGGAGTGGGACATTGCATTGTTGTGAATCAATGATTGATTTTATCATTTGAGGCATAATAAATGTATGGGAAATGATAAATTTCTAAGTGAACGGACGTTGCAAAGATGTGTAACCTCGTTCTTTTATTATTTACGATATTATCAACACTATTCTTTATAGGAAGCTGTGAGTTCCTAATGGTTTATGTTACACTTCAATAAATGTTTTGTTTGCGTGATTTACTTGTATTTTTTGTGTTTTTAGGTTCTATATATCACAACCTTAAGTATTTTGAAACAATACATGCCTCGAAATTGGCACATCATGTGGTGAAACGCGGTGCAAAGTTATCGAGCCACCCGTTCAATACTATCAAAGAGGTTCATTTCAAAACACTTGGAAAGGATTTCAGATTAATTCTTCATCCTCACAGTTCCGTTCTACATTCAAATTTTAAAGCATACACTGTAGATGGTGACGGCAAAGAAACAACTGTTCATGTTGGTAAGAACCTTTTTTAAACATTTTTTTAAATTATTATATTAATATTACTGGACAGGATATTTCTATGGCTCCTATACTCCTATCAAATAAAATACTCAGTTATGCAGAAACATTTTTGTAATCACAAAGATTTTGTACTATTAAAATTCTGATAAATTAATGCAAAAAATTGATTTAGATATCTCTTGATCTCATCTCATCTCATCATCTTGACTTTATCTCACAAAACTATTTTCTCAGTGTAATGATATAAATTCAATATGAAATGAAGCCAATACCAGCAAGTAATGTGAAAAATGTTATTTTATTATTACAGACAGAGAAAACTTCTACACAGGCAGGGTATTTGGTGAAAAATCCTCAGATGTGAAACTACACATGGAAGATGGTTTGATTACTGGAATTATTCACACTCCTGATGAAACATACCATATTGAGGTGAGTGGACATACAAAAAAAATTTACCAATTTAGCCAATTATTTCTTTAAGTACATAATGACATCCGGATTCAATTTTCTTCCGTGTTGTTGTTGATTGATTTACAAATGTATATTTTACTGACAATGGAACCAGTTGTCCAACTATTGTTGACCTAACAGACAAAGTGCACTTTGACTGTTTACTATTCCATATTTCTATGCGATTTTTCATTGTAAGCAATCCAATATTGGTAAGATACAGGCTTGCCTAGTTCAGAGCCAATGGGAATATTCTTGTATGTGATTTCTTATAAGTAATATTTTTTTTCTTTGTACCTAAATACCTTATCTTTATTTCCAGCCCTCATGGCGCCATCTACCACACTTAGATGATAAAACCATGATCACATATAGGTCCTCAGACATACATTTTAGTTGGAAAGGTGCTGATGAAGCTAAGGGTTCCAAGCCTAGAGTCTGTGGCTATGTCAAAGAGGGGAAAGGTAATCATATGTTGATTTAGAATTTTGATCATTTAAATATAGAACAACATGTGCAAGTTAAAAATAATATTTTTTTTATCAAGAGTGTTATGTCATATTGTTACAGTTTTATTCTTAAAAGGTTTAGCTTATGTTTAAAATATTCAATGTTTTTTCTTTTATATTATAAGAATTGGAAGAAGATGATGATGAAGACATAGAAATTGTGGCCGATGTCGAATCTGAACATGAACAATCAGAAAAGGACAAGTATTTGGAGGAAAATGCCCATTACCCTAACAGCACAGACCCTTCACAAAGTATGAAGAAACGCGTCAAGCGACAGAGCGACTATGAATACACGCCAACTAAAACTAGGTGCCCATTGCTTTTGGTTGCAGATTACAGATTCTTTCAAGAAATGGGTGCTAGTAATACTAAGACCACTATTAGTTATTTGGTAAGAAATGCAAAATATTTAAACAATGTACCTACATTGATGTCATAACTCATACTACTTTATCTGTCCCTATGTCCCTATGTGCTTAATTCTTTAAAACTACGGAACGGATTTTGATGCTGTTTAATAGATAGTGATTGAAGAGGTAAGTTTTTACGTATGGTAACATCCATCTATTAATTATTGACAAATTTTGTTGTCAGCATTGCACTCGTGCGAAGCCAGGGCTGGCAGGGTTATTAGTTACTCGTTAATTAAACACAGACGCGATGTCTATTTAAAAACAAATACTTTAGTCTATTTTTGTCAATCTCATCCATCTTCTCAATTTGCCCAAGCAATTTTTAACATCAAGTTTGTTTATTACAGATAAGCCTTATAGATCGCGTACACAAGATATACAATGACACGCTCTGGCAAGATCGGCAGGTTTGTATTCGAGGAATATCCTTCTAAACTTTCTAAAACATAAATTATTTGAAATATTTAAACAAATCATATTATTGTGTTTGTAACAGGATATGGACGGCTTTAAAGGCATGGGTTTTGTGATAAAGAAGATACTGGTTCATTCTGAACCAACTCGAGTGCGCGGCGGAGAAGCTCATTACAACATGGTGCGAGAGAAATGGGATGTTCGCAATCTACTTGAGGTAAAATATGACGCATATCTACATGGTTAGATAATAGAAGTTGTTTGCTTTTTTAACTTTATGCACAAAGTAGATAGGTGGGCTTAATGCCAACAAGCATTTTAGCTTGCCAACCTTTGGGCGATGCAGTGACAATGTATGGTCGATGCAATAGAGTACAAAAAAGAAATAATAAAGACAAAAAAGTTGCTTATAATGAAAAATATGATATTTTAGGCTGCATCTTGACTAAGATCTAGTTTTTCTAATAGTAAGGTAGATACTAACGTTTGTAATGATTTCAAATGTTCCAGTATTTTAGTTGACTACTTTCTTTGTCAGGTATTTAGCCGCGAATATTCCCATAAAGACTTCTGTCTAGCTCATCTTTTCACTGACCTTAAGTTCGAGGGTGGTATCCTCGGATTAGCATACGTGGGGTCCCCACGTCGGAACTCAGTTGGCGGTATTTGTACACCAGGTAAACGAACACAATTGATAAAATTATTGTTATTTATCACTTTATGTTGAAGTATATTATTTTAAATTTATTTTTCCTTTGTTTATCTTCCAATTATAATTTGTGTTCGTTTTGTTTTCAGCTATTATGGTGCCTAGTGTGAGTGTCCTTATTTGTTTTGCTTGTTTTATTTATATGCATTATTATAATTATTTCCTGTTATTTTGCTATAAATAGAATAGTATTTTAATTATGATTTCCTAGATTAAGTCGGTTTTTAGTCTTAATTGTGGTGAATATACATCAAAACAATAATTTATTACATTATGGTGCTGGTATAAATATATGTATTTATTGAGTTCAGTAGGTTTTTAATAGTTATAACTAAAATCTACCTATCTTTTCTACTAAAACAGAATATTTCAAGAACGGCTACACGTTGTACTTGAACTCTGGCTTGAGTTCGTCTCGGAATCACTATGGGCAGCGTGTGATAACTCGCGAGGCAGACCTGGTCACTGCGCATGAGTTCGGACACAATTGGGGTTCGGAACATGACCCCGACGTGGCTGAGTGTTCCCCCGCCGCAAGCCAAGGGGGCTCGTATCTTATGTACACTTATAGTGTCAGTGGATACGATGTTAATAATAAGGTTAGTCAAATATTTTGTCTTTTTCTTCTCCTGATAATCTTTTGCTAACATATTGAACGGGATTATTATATCGTTAGCTGGTTTTCGATTTGGTAAGCGGTGCTGAACATAGACCCGAACTGAGTTGTGTGATGTTTAAAAATTAGGCAACTGAGTATGATCTTTAATGTCCAATGTCTAACAGCAATTTGTATAATGCATCTGAATTTATCTTATAATGTATTATTTAAACACTCTTACAGCGTTTTTCGCCATGCAGCCTCCGTTCCATTCGGAAAGTTCTTCAAGCGAAATCTGGTCGTTGCTTCTCCGAACCTGAGGAGAGCTTCTGTGGTAACTTGCGCGTTGAGGGTGGAGAGGAGTGTGACGCTGGTTTACTTGGTAATTATTTCTTATTTATATTTTAAACTAGCTTTTGCCCGCGCGTCCGTTCCCGTGGAATAATGACTTCCTGTAGATTTTTGGTATAAAAACTATCATATGTCCTTTCTCCAGTTCCAAACTATGTCTGTACCAAATTTCACAGAAATCGGTTCAGAAGTTTAGGCGTGAAGAAAAGACAGACAGAGTTCTTACTACCTTCCTTTCACATTTATAATATTAATTTGGATAAAGCAGAAAATATGTAGCTTCTGTGAAGTTTCGTAAAATTTTACTGCGGGTTTACTGTCAGTTACAAATGATACAATTTATACAATTCAGAAAGAAATACACATTATATTAATTGCTATTTATTTTAGGCACCGAAGACAACGACATGTGCTGCGACAAAAACTGTAAACTTAGGAAAAACCAGGGAGCAGTGTGCAGGTAATAATAATTATATTAGTTATCAATATCTCAATTTTGATGGAAAATTGAACGTTATTACAATGGTATGATGGATTAATTTTCTAGTGACAAAAATTCTCCGTGTTGTGCGGGTTGTGTGTTCGCTCCGCCTGGCGTGGTGTGTCGTGAGGCAGCACATTCTGCCTGTGAAGGGGAAGCTACGTGTAATGGCGCCTCTGCGGATTGTCCTAAGGTAACGTATAGCATTCAATTTAAGGCCTCCAGTGTTGATTTCTCTCAAGTAGTACTCAATGGTGATCAATTACCTACTGACTGACCGACTTTGACAACTAATCAGATTAGACTTACAGAAATCTGCGCCTAATTAGTTGCCACTGGCGAACATTCATAATAGTCAATTAGTTAATTATGAAATGTATATTTATAGTATTGTTAAGTTTTATTTAGTATAATATTGTATATGTTTATATGGGCTTTCGAAGCCTGAAATAAATGGGTAAATAAAAAAATAATAATTTCAATAACAAAACTAAACCCTCTAAATTGCCGAGCTTACATGAAAATGTTAATGAATGTATGTAATAGTTAAAGCAAAAAAGATTTGCCAGAATCGTGTCTTGTCGTCCCATTGTCTATATATTTGCCCATTGTCTATATATAAGCCTGAAATAAATGGGTAAATAAAAAAATAATAATTTCAATAACAAAACTAAACCCTCTCAATTGCCGAGCTTACATGAAAATGTTAATGAATGTATGTAATAGTTAAAGCAAAAAAGATTTGCCAGAATCGTGTCTTGTCGTCCCATTGTCTATATATTTGCCCATTGTCTATATATAAGCCTGAAATAAATGGGTAAATAAAAAAATAATAATTTCAATAACAAAACTAAACCCTCTCAATTGCCGAGCTTACATGAAAATGTTAATGAATGTATGTAATAGTTAAAGCAAAAAAGATTTGCCAGAATCGTGTCTTGTCGTCCCATTGTCTATATATTTACCTCAATGTTAGTAATAATTAATTTCCCTTTCCCAGGCCCCAGCTATAGCAGACGAACATGAATGCGCAGAGCGCGGCCGGTGTCGCAACGGAACGTGCGTGCCGTACTGCGAGACACAGGGCATGCACAGCTGTATGTGCGATATTGGTGAGTTCGTTCATATAATCCGGATTCTTCTCTGAACCGCATTAATCTTACTAATATTGTAAATGCGAAAGTTATGATGTTTGGATGTTTGTTACTCAATTACGCCAAAACAGCTGGACGGATCGGACGCCAAAACGGCTGGACGGATCGGACGCCGAAACGGATGAAATGTGATACAGGCGTAGGATATTATACTCCGGAATAGGACATAGGCTACTTTTTATCAACTCACCACACGGGCGGAAGCTAGTAAATAAATAAATAAAAGGTCTGCCCCTTAGTAAAGCTACTTGCTCATCATGTCATTCCAAAGTGAACATTCCAATCCCGATTAAAAATAATATTCGATAAGGCCAATTTGAAAGGGACGCGTATATTAATTTCCAAGTTTTAAATTCTATTTTACTTGAAGTTTTTAATAATACTAATTTAATTGCAATTTACAGTTGCGGATGCATGCAAGCGTTGTTGCCGTAAAAGCTTGAACAAGACGTGCTTCCCTGTGGCACATAACGATATCTTACCGGACGGTACGCCGTGCATTCAAGGATTTTGTAATAAGGTAACCCACCAAACTAGTCCAATAATTTTTTTTTTTAATATAATTCTCAACTTTATGGAATCAGTAATAAGAGCGAAAATCTAACAAAATTATTTTGTCTACAGGGTGTATGTGAAAAAACAATACAAGATGTGGTGGAACGTTTCTGGGATATAATTGAAGATATAAACATTAATAATGTGTTGGGCTTCCTGCGCGACAATATTGTCGGAGTTGTGGTTCTAGTCACCGCCTTCATTTGGATACCTGCTAGTTGTGTCGTAAGTATTTCATTTACGTTTTAAAACTTTGGCTATGTCGTACGTGTCGGCGGACATCAATATTGTATACTTTGTTTTATGAGATAGATCGGCAAACGAGCAGACGGATTACCTGATGGTAAGCAATCGGCGCCGCCCATGGACACCCGCAACACCACGTGGTATCACTCCGACCTAGCCGACTCATTCGGCTCTCCCACACTTATATTCGTATCTCTGTCAGGATAAAAAATTCTGGTGGCAATCTGTTTTCCAATATTTTCCATGGACTTCTTTCAGATAAGTTACGTGGACCGGCGTCGTCAGCGTCAGCATCAGAAGTTCTTGGACTGGGAGCGACAGCATGACCTCATCCACCCGTCATCTCCACGGAAAATTATCCACACTAGGTAATTTCAAATATTTGAAGAGTAAACATTTCAAAATAATTTTAGAATTGAAAGTAAGTCTTAGAATTGAGAATTAGGTTACTGGCTTGAAATGTCAATAGGGTTTTTTTAGAATATGACATTTTGTCTGCATATTCCTAGATCAATAGAGCCCAATGTTAGTTTGATCTATGTTACCGCGCGTTTTGCACTGTGACTGGTTGGTTGACCAATATCCTTAACGTGTGGAACTCCTACTAGGCGCTCTGAAAATTATCGACTTTATAAGTCTCAGGACCAGAATTTATATATATGTTTCATTCTTTCAGATTGCCGAAACAAAAGCCTCCCGGCATGAAAGCAGCAATACAAGGCACAAGTCAGCTATAAACCTATATTTAGAATAATATGTAATGTAGTTGTACCTTTTCCAACTAATAAATAGATGTAAGAAATAAAAACAAATGTCTTTTATTATTATTTTGTTTATTGTTGCTAATAATGGATAAAAGTGCACAACATTAAACGATTATTTAAGATAAATAATTAATAAATATAAAGCGCTAAGCTAATGTATTGATTACATAATGAAGTTTTTAACTGGGAACGTTAAATAACTTAAAATAAGTATTGTTTCTTGTAAAACTGATTAGTTAAGTGCAGTTGAGGTGAGTAGGGCTACGCCTCTCTCGTAGAATGCGTGGGGCTCCTGTCCCGGCGCGATGGGGAGACGCACGGTGAACAGTAACTCGGATCGAGCGCTGTTCAGGTACACTGGGAGAGTCAGGGATTGGCCTCCTGTTGATGTTTCAGGACCACTGTGAAGGAAAAGTTAGGGTTAGGTTAATTAAATTGATTGTAGTTGTAGTTTTTGTTTAATCGTGATAATTCGTGACACAAAAGAAGAACAATAGGTGCGCGAACGCGAATTCTGTTTCGGTTCGCTTAGGGTTGGTGAATTAATTTAAAAATATTTATTAATTTTAAAATATTAAACATGCAAGTTTGTCCAGCTTTTATTCTTGGATACAGTTCATGCTTCGCAAAGATATTGTGTTTTGTCGGTTTCCGAAAATTCTCAGTAGATAGATAATAAATGAAGTCTATAGTTCGTTCCATAATTAGAGACAACAATTTGACAACAGCAAATGTCAAACTACAAAATAATGTGGCCAGATTTTTTAACATAGTGATAGGCCCGAGTACGATTTTTAAATAAAATACCGATACCGTTATTGTATAAAATACGCTGAGCAAAATAAAACAACGTTGCGGTGATGTTTTATAGTTTAGTGGAATTAATAATAATAATTTAAAATAAAAATGCCAAATCCAAGACCTTACGACGACGACCTGACGACCTTAGACGATATTTGAGGAACCTATGCTGAAAGCCGAGCTGTTGGAGAGAACTGCCGGAAATAGAAGAGTAATTATGAACGATACGTCGTGGACTGATGGCTGCTAAAAGGTAGGTCACTATTTTACGGTTGCCTCCTTTCCATTGTGATTTTAACCCGACTGAGTTAGTATGGGCACAGGAAGGTACCAGGGAAAGTAGCTAAAAATAATAAAGCTTTTAAAATGCACGAAGTCCAGAATTTAATTTCGGTCTTTCGGTCAATACCGGTCGCGGGACTTCACTATTTATGAAATGGAAAAACCTTGCAACACTCGAAATGTCAAATCGTTGTCTCTAATTATGGAACGAACTATAGCTAAGACTAGCTGGTTGCTCCGAAACCTTTATTATATTATGGGACTCACGACCTTATATAAAAATGGTGAAAGAATGTGCATGAAAAAACTGAAACTAATATAATATTTAAAATATTTACCGGATCCAAGTAAGCACGGTGTGTGGCAGATCCACCATAATAGTGTTAGTTAGGAGCAGTCTGTTGCCCTTGACAGTAGCGCCCTGCAGCTTCAGGCCAGTTACGGAGAACGACCATTCTGTTTGAGCGTTCTCTGTCGGAGTGCCGGGGTCAGGGATGGTCACCTGTTGAGAGGAAATGAAGATATAGAAAGGCTAGACTTTTATCTTACGAAAGTAATTTCTTTTACTACAATAAATTAAAAGGTGTATTGCGTTGTACAAAAAAGTCGTATTTTCTACACACTTTGTGTATTGTATACCTAGATTATTATTTAAAACAAGAAGGTAAACAACTTAAGATAACATTTACCTGAAGATGCAGCTCCTCAAGGGACCAGGAGTTGGCCTGAGCGACACACTGGCGTGTAGCGGTGATATAAGCTTCAGGGTTCAGTAGACCGCCGAGCCATACTGGGATGCTCTGTGAAAGTACCAAATAACGTTAGAAGATAGCAGATGAAAAATAGACTGAAAAATCCTTGCCTACACCTAAAAATCATTTGCTTTGAAAACAATAACCTGTTTTTATATAATTTTAGGTTGTCTAAAAAGTAGGTTCGTCTAGTAAAAAAAAAATATGATTATTATTTATTTAAAACTGAATTAGTTAAAGTAAGGCCATCATCACATACCTTTTTAAAATTTTACTAGTCTCTAGGTACGGTTCGGCCCTTCAACAATATGTATTATATCGAATTATCGACGACCATCGATATTGAATTTGGCTAGGAGAGAGCAGGTTTCAAATGTTGATACATGTGAAAACGTAGTCTTTAAGCGCCATGGTTGGTTATAGCTGACAAACCAATACCTAAATTTGACGTTATATGGTCGGTTATGGCGAAATAGTCTATTTTGCGTTAGTCATCAATAGATATATATCGATGATGGCAGTGACGCGGTGCTTGATGTGGACAATACCTGGAGGCGCTTGGCGCCCATGGCGGCGACGGCGTCGGAGACTGCGGCGAGCTGCGTGACGCGGTGCGCGAAGTCGCCGACCCACTGCTGCACGGTGCAGCCGCGCGCCACGGCGTAGCGCCGCCAGCTGCCCGGCAGCATGCCGCGGACCAGCGCGCCCACCATCGCGCGCGTCTCGTTCGTCTGCTTCATCTCGCCCTGTATACACGCAACCACATTACAAACGTGCACGAACATATTATGAAATATATAGTTGTTTCTAAACATAACTACATATTATAAAACAAAATTCCTTTCTTTGCCCCTATGTATGCTTAAATCTTTAAAACTACGCAACGGATTAACACATCCAGTGCCTCCGAACGCACAGGTGCGTCGAGGGCACACAGAGTAGCGTAAGGAAACGCACATACGCGTCGGGGGCACTGGATGTGTTAATGCTGTTTTTTAATAGATACAAGTAATTGAAAATGAATGTTTATATGTATAATAACATTAATTAAGTAGTGAAGAACTTTATTGTCAACATTGCGGATCGTTATTCACTATTATTTATTTATAAAAGTAGGTCAATGTGACAATCGAACAGGAAGATCAAATTAAATATCCATTCCTGACCGATACATTCATAATCCACTAATATAAAAAAAAAAATATATTAGTTTACAAGTTTTCTTCTTGTTGCATCTACCACTATCTCTGCCAAGCTATATCACCCTAAGCTTGGCTAGTAAGAATACCTATGGCATTAAGCCCAATTATGAAATTTTATCAAATCGAAAGAAGGGTCGAATCGAAGATCGAAGATCATCTAAATAATAAATATAGAATATTTTTTAACCTACATCTATCCCTAAAATAGATACTTACCCTTAAAAAAATACAGCTAATCTTATATGTCAACTTAAAATCTTACCTGACAGATAGAAAGAACGCTGCGTAGATCATGCAACACTTGTTGCAATAACGACGCGCCAGCGGCGACTTCACGCTCGAAGAATCGGTACAACGGGTCTTTGATATTCTCCACCGTACGACGCAATGTCTAAGGAGTAAAATAAATAGAATGTTAGGAATGCAACACGTTTAACATTTAAAAAGAAAATAGTAACTACTGTACGACATAATTGATTTATTGAAAATTACGACGTACATGAACAAAACCAAGAAAACTTCTACTAGTTTCAAGTCACACACCCGGTTTCCGAAAGGCCGATCAATGTTAAAATTAATTTAATATTGTCAAGTCATCTGATTGGTTGACTGAATTATCAACAACCAATCAGATGACTTGACAAGAGATTTGACGCCTAGTTAGTAGATTTTAGCATTGATCGGGCTTTCGGAAACCGGGCAACAGTCTCTTATTCATGAGCAGCGTGCGCGTCGCGGCGACGTCACGCAACCAAGTGAACCATTCTGGCTTGAAAGTAGTAGAGTTTTTTTCAGTTTGTTAACGTAAGTCGTTATTTTCAATAAATTAAGTGTAGGAGAGCTAAGCTTCGGCACGATTTCACGATTCGATTGGAATGATACCACGGCCTCACGGCATACCGGCGTGAAACAACCACAGCGTTGTTTCGCTGTGTGAGTGAGCTTAGCGGAGGCCCAATCCCTCATCCTCCCAATACTTAAATATTCGCAACCCTTATCCCCAAAAGTCCGGCAACGCACTCGTAACTTCTTTGGTGTTGCGGGTGTCCGTGGGCGGCGCCGAATCCTTACCATAAAAAAAGAAGAAACTGTTTATGAATCTCTGTTATTGGTTCTTACCGGTAACTCTTTCGGCAATAGTTGCAACCAGTTGGTGGCAGTTGCGTGTAACGTCTTCATCCAGGCTGGTCGGCCAGCGACCATTGAGTCTGAAATGTATTTAGCATTTTTATTCACCTGTACTTTCATTATAAAGGGACTTTATTGTTTCTGCTGTTCCCAAAAGCATACTTTTATGTTTTTAAATTTAAAGGTTACAAAAACTTAGAGCGATACCCCAGGAAAAGTAATATAAATTTTGTGAATGTGAAAAGAAAGGTAAAAGATTGGCAGGTATATAAAGGAAACGCAATATTGTACCAACCCTAAAGTACTTGGGATAAAAAACAAGGATTAAAGAAAATATTTCAAACACGAAATGTTTGAGCCAACTGCTACCAATTTTAAACCTGTAAAAAGAACAATCTTAATTGTAATATTACTGACCTGCGACAGCATCATGGTCCTGTGCAGCAGCATTGTAAGCCAGTTCCTCTTCATCCTCCAGCTGCTGCATCTTTAGGAGTTTGGACACCAAGTCGCTACCTTGGTTTGTAAGTAGTACCTGTGTAATACATTATATGATTTTAGAACTGAGTGCAGTTTGAAATCGGTAGGGGTTCAATAAGAGGTTTTATAATATAATAGTCATATTATGTACTATTTTTCGTCCTAGATTGTTAGTGCTAATGCGTTAGTGCCTTTCATTTCAATGCGCTCCAATTGCCGGTTATGGCAGGTGTAACCCTGCCGAAACCTTAAGCAAAAAACAATGAAAGGTACGTGAGCGTGTAGCATAATCGTGTCTATGTGTTTGACACATAAGGCACATTTTAATGTGGTCACCGTTTACGGCCGTGTGAAAACGCGTGTATAAAACTAGCATTGAAACTTTGCAAATGTAAAAAGCAATTAACACACTAGACTTCGCGGTTGGAAATGACCAATAAACTGGAAAAAAAAACTTTTTGAAGAAAAATCGCAATTTACCTTCTCAGCATTGTTCGGCAGTCCGAGCCACGACGGCGTCTGCCTGTCAGACAGCTCTTCAATCCATTTCAGGAAGTGATCACGACGGTTGCCGTCTGGCATTGTGATATGACGCTGGTTGCCGCTTGCCTGAAAGTATAAGATCGATTAAATAATTCAGTATTGAAGATTCGAGTTTTGAGTTCAGATACAAAAAAAAATACTTGTTTACATCCAGATTCATATGAAGATCAATTAATTGGCTCGACTCGGTAAGTAATTAGGTTTCATTGGAGAAGTCAGTTGTCAAATTCAATAAATACACAACTGTACATACCCCATCGACATTGGCGACCAGAGCGAAGTCAGCTTCGAATGATTTAGGTGTGAACAACTTGCAGAGGAAGGAATGCAGTAGACGTTGATCGAAAGAGTTGTCGATCTTGCCTCCGTAGATACATTGCGACAGGAGAGTCACTAGCGCTTCCCATGGTACCTTCTCTGGAGGTAAGTTGGTGCGACCCTGTATTGGGAAATATGTAAGTTAATGTAATGTAGAGTCTTTTTATTCAATTTTAGTGAGCAATGTGAAGAGGAAATGTATTTTTTGTGTTCCTGTAAAATTGTAAAGTATTAAAATTATTTTTTGCTTTATTATCCTTAGCTTTTTTAAGAAAAGCATGGTTGATGTAAGGTGTACTTATGGGTCATATGGAATTTAATATTGATTCAGTGACGTTTTAAACTGTAAAGAATGTTAGATTATCTTGTATCTTTGATACCATTCACAAGACCATAGGGACCTTTTGAAGGCATACGAGGAGTCGAAGACAACTCGAAGAGGCCCTTTGAACAACTTTAATTTATTACTGTCAAAATTTGTAAAATTGTTAAAGAATATTAAAATGAGATGTATATCGAATAGTACTGTATAATAATATAATGAATACAAACCATAGCAGTAGCATCGATCCAAGTATCCAAAGTGTCGCAAGCAACTCTCAGATCGGACTCATTGAACTCGTAGTACTTCGCCCATCCGAGTGGCACGTAACGGAGACGTTCTTGTACGATACCTGAACAACAAAGAAAAACATATTTATTCCGAAGAACCAAATTTAGCTTACTTTTTTTTAACAGACAAAATATATTAAATCTTTGTTACAATGCTTGAATGCAAATTAATCCTTAACAGGAAGTAATAAAGTTCTAAATCAGTTATGTAAGCAACAATTTACCGTGGAACCAAGCCAGTAGGAAGTACAGTCTTGCACGTTCCGATGGTTGCTTCATCATGCGCGCTGCCGGCACCTGTAAAAATACGTCATAGATAAAAACTGTTGAAAAAAACAGTCATATTAGTAATGACCAGTATGACCTGTGATGAATTCCTATGAAAAGAAACATTAAGATATTTGGAAAGCCCGTTTATATTGGCAAAATACAAATCATGTTGTTTTCGATTCACAGAATAGAATAATATTTGGGCTTACTTAAGTTTTACGAGTTAAGAGTGAGTATTAAGCAACTAACGAAACTACGAGCGTCGTGTACATAACTGACTAGAACTATTGTGTAATTGTTTGAGTTATAAACGGTTTCGTGAGAAAGTCTTAAAGTAAAATATCTCAAAAAGTTTAAAACATATTATTATTTTTTCCCACTTACAGTTGCGAAAGTCCTGAGCAAGTTAGCCCTGATACCGGGCGGGGGTTCGAAGACCAGTACCCTGCCGGCTCGCAGCAGGTTGACGGGCAGCTTGGGGCTGATCTCCGTGGTGAGGAACAGCCTGAAGTTGGGGTGCGGCTGCAGCGAATGCAGCTTCTTCTCTAACTGCACCAGCCATACAGGGGCTAGGTGCACGTTCTTTAGCATTACCCAGCTGTTCAGAACAAAAAGATGTTTATTATTATTTAATGGCGAGTTGTCTTTGGGCATGTAGGATTAAGGCTCTTCTTTCTTTCCTTGATCTGGGTTTTTGCCTGAATTATGTCCTATATAAACCTTATAACGTCCTATATGAAACTTCTGACAACTTTTGATAATAACAACAGTGTGGGAATTGATTGAAGTTGTGTGCTCAGTGTTCGGTATTAAAAATAAAATACTAAGACTGCATTTTCTTTGTCACCTTAATCCTACATGTAAAAATAAAATGTTTAGAAATAATAATGCTTAGTTTTGCTTATGCTTTCCTATAACTAAAAGTTGAAGCACTTACCGTCCAGTCTTGCACGCGGTGTTGATGGCACGCTCAGCCTGGTTGAAACCTTCAGCGGAACCAATAGCGATGCTGGATAGAGGCTTGTTCAATTCAGTTGCCATATCGTCCACACGACCTGGTTAGAAATAAATGAATATAGAAAACATTCACATCTTAATATTATGATAATAGCAATAGGCAGTGGTTTACGTATTTAAAGACAAGTAAGTATTGTCTATTTATTTTTTTCTAAGACTATCTCTAAATATTCATGCAAATTTCCTTCTGAAGATACCTTCATTATGTTAGAGTTTTTTTTGGACCACTGTCTTTCGTGAGGTTTGAAGAAATAAAAAATAAAAGGATATATTTTTAATTCATCAAATCCCAAGCGCACGGATATTGAGCACCTGTCTCATATTACCACGAAAGTTTAAATAAAATGAAACAAAACACTTACCACTGGCATCATATCCCGGTACGGAGCACAGTAAGGCGGGCGTGGTAGCATTGAGCTGTGTCTCGGTGATGGAAGCCAAGTCCAGCTCGGTTTCCGCCTTAGCCATGTACCCGGCGCCTAGTACCGCCGTCACAAGCTGAGTCGCTGCGGCGATCACGCGGTCGGGACGGAACGCCTGAGAATAAAGGTACGTTGATATTGAGAAGGAAGTAATTTGTACTCTATAAGTCTCAAACTTGATCATCAATAAGGTGATTTCTCATGTCATCAGTATGCGGCGTGATAGCCAAATATTTGTTTTTAAAGGTGCTAAAAAATCTACCAGTATTGAAATTATAATGACTTGAGTACAAAAGTAGTTATCAATTTAGTGACTGACAGAATTGTTGTTATTAGTGTCTCTAATATGACGTTTTTTAACACGTGGGAATATTTTTGATTCAACTGAACGTGCTTTCTTCGTGTTGGAATCTGTGCTAGTTTTTAGAAATATGGGAGTAAACTTGTAAGTCTTAATGCTTTGATAGCAGTATGGATCAAATATAAGAATACACATAATGAACGTTTATTAGGTAGTTAAGACGATAATTTTGTTTCTAAATGCAAAACATTTTCAATACGCTGATTTAAAAGTAAGTGGGCAGACTTTCGTTTCATTACAAGCATCTTAACGCTGATCAGATGTACTACCTGTATGAGCAGCAGGCGGTACATGGCGAGGGTATGCGGCGCGGGCGGGGCGGCGGGCTCGCCGTCCCACAGGGTGGGCACGCACTGCTCGGGCGCCGCCTGCGACAGCCACGCCGCCAGCTCCGGCAGCTCGCTCACCTTGCTCAGCAGGCGCCGGAAGTGGGGCATCCTGCATACCGCATTTACAAACTTTTAACACTACTAAAAAAGGCCAAACATAGCCTTAGACACACTGCAGTCGTTAAATGCCACTGCCGGTAGTCTGATTTCAGTGTGAGCAGGTTTTCTTCAAAAATGATTGACAGCTTGTAATGTCTTTACGTAAATGGCTACAGTCAACCATTTGAAGACATTAAAGTTTTTTTCATGATATTTTTTTATCCATTCTAGCTTCCAGCTTATCTTTATCGCACTTTCTTTTTTTTTTTCTAAATTTCTGAATCAATTTCAACAGATAAATTATACGAATAAATTTGAAATTGTCAATGCGAAAACTTTAGATTAAAATTGAATTATTAATTTTATACGAAAGTCATATCGCTTATCATATAGAGAACCAATTATCATGAAGCCCAGCAATTAAAATTAATAATATTAAATTAAAATTTAACAAACTAAATTAGTAACACACTATACTACTAACAAATTTACATTATAATATTTATGATATGATGGCTTACCTAGAGCTAAGCCTAGCGGCGGCGTCGTGTTGCGCGTGCGTGAGAGGTTCGATGGGGTCGGTGGTGGAGACGAAGCCCTCCTTCCCGCCGAGGAAGACGGCGAAGGCGCGGTCGAGCGTGTCGTCGGCGCCGGTGCCCTTGAGGTGTATGCGGCACAGCAGCAGCGCGAACGTCAGCCGGTCCGTGTGCAGCATGCCGCGCGCCACGCGCTCGTACACCACCTGCATACACGCACGTACATTATACATTGCTCGTCCACTGATTAATAGTAACGTACTTTCGCTAATACATCACCCGCACACATATATTATACTTTCAATTGTTTTTTTTTTTAAGAACCTTGCCCCTCATTATGATTCTCCTGTGTCGTAGGTGCGGTTACAAACATACAATTTCACATGCACATCACATCCAGACCCGGAACAACAATTTGTAGATCACACAAAGAGTTGTTCCGTACGGGAATCGTACCCGCGACACGTTGCACGGCAGCCAGTTGCACCAACCGTGCAGTCGAATGTGAGTGAATGTAGTGCTTTCGCGCTAAGATTGCACTGAAACATGAGTGTAACTGTATACACTGACTGTACAGTATTCACAGTGGTGTTAAGTTCAAACACCTTTTGTTAAAAAGTTAAACGTCAATTAATTTCCAAAAACACACTTAGAAATTTCAAATCAAAATTATAGGCTAGTAACTGCATTCTTAATGCGAATATACTGTATAAAATTCTGGTTTTTGTATTGATAAAGACGCGCTGCAAATGCGACTAAGAAACATTACTAAATTTTTATTACTCACAGCAAACAGTTCCTCAGTGATGATCTTGAGCCTAGCGGTGTAGTCGGTAATGCCGCTGAGCATAGGACAGACGAGAACAGAGCTGAAGATGTCCAGGAACATCTTCAAAGAGTACTGGTACAGGAAGTGTACTTGGTGGAGCGACTCCATCGTGAAGTAGATGCTGCTGCAGGCCTGGAAGTAAACGAGTATGTTACTGATGTGCAATTTTAAAATTGATTAGTGATCTTTCAATATATTATAAGTAAATTTATGGTCTCTAAGATTTAACCAAATAATGGCCATTCCATTATATCCGTATAAAGAAAAGTTGCCCCACACTAATATTTTCTCCTGTGACGCGCGTCCGTTTACAAACATACAATTTCACATACACGTCACACCCAGACTCGGGACAAAATTTTGTGGATCAAGGAGTTGTTGCGTGCGAGGATTCAATTCGCGACACGTTGCGCGAGTTGCCCAGCCACCGCGCCAACCGTACAGTTAATAATCATAATAAAATAACTTATTAACTTGTGTAACATATATTGTAGTAACCACAAATGGCAAGATATGGATGAGCCCAACGATATTTAGGTCAAAGGAGAACTTTCTTTTTACGTAACTATTCAACATTTCTGCAAACTTACTTGCGACAGTGGTAAGTACTGTTGGCTAACAGTTTCAATCTCAGCGATAACTTTGTCAGTCTCTTCGACCTTCTGTCCAATGTCATCAGCTTCCTTCTTCAGAGTCTCGAGTGTGGCAATGACGGAGTCATCGTCAAGGATCTTGCCTTTAGCGTCGTTTAGAGCTTGGAGCAACGACTTCTCTAACTGACGTAGACGTAGGTGGAACTCGCCTAAGAATTAAGGATTTTATATATCAACATCATTCAGAATGAACTTTATTTTTAGTATTAGTTATTATTAGCAGATCATAGCGTTATCATTCAGGAACAACATTGACTTAGTAGTATTACTGTGACAATTTCAGTTGTTTAACCAGTAGTAGGTGGTGTTTTTATAAGCTCCAGTGGCGAGTTGAATGGCGAATGAACATTAAAATGTATCGGTCCGTGAGACCGCTAACATACCACAGTGTATCTAGCATACATTCAGTTCAATTTTATTCACCACATCCAGATTGTGGAAAAAGCTTACCAACCCAGCATTAGTAATGAATGTTTGACTTTATGCAAAAATACAAGATAAAAAATGTGTTTACCTTGAAGTTTAAGCAGGTCAGACCTCTTGGTATCGATGTCAGGTCTCTCAGCCTTAAGTACTCTGTGCAAGCACTGTGATTGCAGCGAGGACCGTGTTACCGTGAAGTTGACGAACGTCACTCGAGAACACATATCCGGAGGGAACTCCACTGTTGGGTCCCTAGAAGTAAAACATGGTGTTTACTATATGAATACTGTTATACTTTTGGAACTCTGGTCATTGCTTTTTCTGTACATTCCTTTTTGGATGTTTAAAGAAAATGAGGTTTTACAAACTAATTTATTTCAATATGTTATCTTCCTGCGAATTCCATATTTACCTTGTACTAAGGAAGATGACGAATGAAGGACTGAGATCAATGTCCTGGTCTCCGAGAGTAATGAGCACTCGGCCACCAGTACGACGGAGCTCTCTGTTCAGAACCGGGTTCAGGATCGGATCGTAGTTCTCTACATCCTATAGAAACAAAGTAAATTATTAGTATGATAATTAACAGTTTTCAACGTTAATCGATTTTCATCATTGCGCAGATCTACAGAAAAAATTGCGCAACATGCGCATAACAGCCAATGGATTCCAAAATTTAATTTATTGGATAATGGTTTATTTCATTGTCTCCAAATTTAATTATGCTACTTACTTGTACAAGCAGTGGGTTTCCGAAACGCAGAGCAGACTCCAAATTCTTTCTGAAGGAATCGTCGAGGAAGGAGGTCTTTGTAATCTTGCGTTCCTTGAACTCTCGCATTATGAACTCCGTCGCTTGTCCAGAAGGATCGATGATCAGCGGGTAACGGTTGAAACGCTAAAATAAAAGAAAAGATTTTTGAGTGCTACAAAATAAAATTGAAAAATATAAACAACAACCCAATTTCAAAGCACTACTGTAAGGTAGACAAACAAAATTATAAGCAATCATTCTAAAAACAAGGTTTAACATTCTCTATCATAATATATGAAAGTAACTTACCCTTAGCATGATAGCGTTTTCAACGCAGAGTTCGTCAGTAGGCAGTGCATTTGCTTGCCAGCGCAGTCGCTCGTCAGGGTTACTGAGGTACTCCGTGCGAGCAATGTCTGCACGGTACTTGATGTTCGCAGCTGCCAAGTGGGATGTCCAGGTCGTGAACAGATTTTGACGGTACTGGGGAGTAAAAGATAATTATTTGAATAATATACGTTTAATCTTATTTTTTGTATCATGAATGTGTTTATAATAAATATATTGAATATTGAATATTGAATAAATACGAAGATCACACTTATACCCAGAACAACAAATTTCATATCACATTATACATTATTTGGTACTTTTGCGCAATGATTCCTATGAATGACTATTGCGCAAAAGTCTGCGCAAACAAAATATAAATGATTGCGCATGCCTTTTCTAAATTGATAACAACGAAAATGTTTACTTACGTGTTGATCAAAGTATCCACCGTAAGCAATGAAGGCGGCAGACAGCAACACATCTCCGACAATAGTGCTCATCTGGGAGCGGAATGTCTCCGAGCTAGACTCCCAACGTTCACGCTCGATCACCAAACTCTTCAGTAGAGCTATTGACCTGTCCACCTGTGAGTTAAACAAATTAATTAGAAATGGTTTCGTCGTACAATATAAACGGATTTACCACCTGGATAGATTTGAGTTCAGTAGGCAAATTCAGCCTTCGTTCTGCACCAAATACGTTATTTTTATTGCATTACCATCTTTATTAATCTATCTAACACATATGTTTGGTTTTGGAGTTCATCTTGAACACAAAGGCGCGACAGAATCCTTTTATACTGTCTAAGAAGGACGAGATCGCAGATGGGTCGTCTAAGATTTTGTGATCAATAATGAATAATTTACCTTAGCCTGAACGTTCTCCAGATCAGTCTTAATGGCTTGAGCCTGGCTAATGAGCTGGGCATATTCTTCTTTGTATGACGCGATAGACTTCTCCAGTTGAGCGATCAGCTCGCTGACTTCGTTGCCAGCGGTCACGTTGCTCTGCGCGCGGTCTTCTAAAGCTTTGAGCTCGTTGCGCAACGGTTCCACACGTTTCAACATGTCCGCATATTCGATCTAGGAAAAGTAAGTAAAAAAGTGTTATATTCTGAATGATAATAATAATTTGATTAGTTTATTTTTTAGATTTATCGAGAAATCTATAAAATCGTAATTATTATTTTGTACGTTCTCTTCCATTCACGGGATTACAGGGATCCCGGACCTTTGGAAGGCGGACGAGGGGCCGAAGCCAACTCGCAAAGCCCGTTAAACTACTTTCATTTATATGTAATGGTACATCAGCCGGCAATATCCTTTTATGCACTGTGAAACAGCACCTAAGGACAATCCCTGGTTGATGTAGGACTTATTATTATTATTATTTTCTTTCTTACCTGAGCGATGGCCCATTTCACCATAGGTCCACAGGCCATACTGGCTCTGTTCACCTTCTCGAAGTTGTAATCAGGGTTGCACAGGTAACGTGTCCTCATTTTCTCGCGAACATCATCACTGGTAGCACACAATCATCCAATTAATACGGTAAACTATTTCATAAACTTGATATTTTACTCTTATTACGTGCATCGTGCAATGTCAATGAACCAGACCATCTCAATGAATGACTTTGGACCTTGTACCAGAAGTTTCCATTTGTATTTACGACACGGTGTTCATACTGTCGGTCGAATTCATGTTCTTTTGGAAAAAATATTAATGTTATGAGTAGGCAGTATTTTAAAGATTTTGAAGAGTGTATGTGTGTTTTAATCTCGAAACTACGTTTGAAATGTCAGTTCTTTTATTAATATGTTTAACATGAATTTGACCGAGAGTTCAATTTACACTGCAACCGCGTCCACCATGCAATCCACGTTATTCTGTATTTACCTCACTCGAATTATATAACAGGACGTCACTTACCCACACAGCGAACAAAGATTCTAGAGATAAACACATTGCCTTCCCCTGTTTGAAGGACACATCAGATAGCAAACAAAACAAAATAAACATAAAATTATAAACAGAAACAAAACAAGCTGTTTCACCGTCGATAGTGAATTGGTTTCTCGGCGGCGGTTCGACACGAACATTATTTATTGGCAAATACATTCATGCGTCCTGAATGTTGAGGTAATGTACGAGTATGGTGTATTGTGTTTACTGACGCTGTATTTACTTTCACAGCATTTTAGTACATATGTAATTACGTGTAATTAATATATTAAATTATTGAGAATGGAACGGCAGTTATAGATATTAATATCTACTCGTTGCTTTTATTAATTTGTTCAATTTGTAAGTGTAGTCTAAAATATCAACCTACCACCACATACGTACCAATTACCGATACATGCGCGTGCATCTAAAACGTCAATAAAATGCATACAAAATGAACATACCATGCGAAAAGCATGCAGCAAGCATTAAATTAATGACCTAACTTTTTATGCAAATTGCACGCGATTTTTATTTTTGTTTTCATTTAAAAGAAGCATGTAATAAAAAAACAATGTTTATAAAAATCGTGTGGAACTAGCATTGGAATACTCCGTGATCCGTAGATCCAAGTTCCTTATACCACCACCAAAACAAAACAGAGGAACAAGTGGGAGGGGTGGAAAACAAGCGGCGGTGCTCACGTTATGTCCTCGGTGGAGAAATTGGAGACGATGCTGTTGATGAAATTCTCCCGCATGATGACGGCGCGGATGGCCTTCCAGTCCGTCGCATTCTCCCCAAGGAGCAGGCAGATGGACTCCAGAGCGACCTTGACGAGCGCCGGCGGATTGCCCATAGATCTCACTTCCACCAAGTGCTGCTTCTTTATAGATTTGACCGCTGTACATTAGACGGTCCCGGCAGTTTGCAGTATACGTTGGCCGCCAGTCGAGTGCGTCGCGTCGAGTCCGTCACCAGCACGAAGCGAGAGCGAGAGAGTACAAAAAAGAGAGAAACAAAAAAGGCATTTAGCTGCTTCTGTGACACATGCGGCTGCCGATATTATAGCGCGGGGATACCGCGGTACCGGCGCATGGACGGGGAAACTGTCAATAACTCATTGATACTCAACATTATTATATATTGCAACGAATTAATAACAATTTCCCACAGCACCGATACGCTATAACATAAATTATAAACGGTTTATTTTCTGAAAAGAAACGGTTAAATACGTAATGTTAAAACAAAAATGTTAAATGTATCACGACGATGCTTAGCGGGGTTAGTCACGAGTATTCACTGTATATTAGTGTGCCTTACAATACATAGATGCCATTTTACATTACAGTGATCACAGCGTTACGTTTTTTTTCTATATTAATAACAACAGTCACATAATGCAAGCGAGCTTAGCTTATTTACAACAACATATTTATCTATAAAGTTCATTCAATAACAATAAAGAAAAACGTATAAGAATCGAATACATTAAAATATTCTGTTTTGTGTCAAAACTTACAAAAGATATATAATCAAAACTTTATGCGTAACATAACAATTAAAAGAGGTAACAAAGGTAAGTAATGTTTTTGCCAATAAATATGACTATGGTATTAAAACTAAGAAATACTAATTGCTATCTAGGATGTTGATCTCTAGAACATTACATTCATATTCAAAACATATACTTTTTTTTTCAAATTATATTGAGATAGTATGTCGTGTTTCGCACCACGATAACTTAATTGACGCATAATCGTCTACAAAGATAAATTGTAAGAAAAGGTGCACGACAGAGTATCATCAAGTACATAGAGCGGACACTTCTAGACACTACACTCTTGACCCGTAGCGTTCATAGCTATTTGGGTACATCGAGAACATCTAGAAGAGTGAAAGCGACCATTAGTGCCATACAACGAACAAACTACGACATGCTATCTCATGGAAATAATAGATATAAAACTAACGTGATATTCTTTGTGTCGAAGTTAACGATGGTGGAAATAAAGTTGTCCTTCATGACGACGGAACGGATGCTCTTCCAAGTGTCCCCCTTCTCCCCCAGGAGGGTGCAGATAGACTCCAGCGCCATCTTCACCACGGAGGGGGGGTTGGCCATGGACCTCACCTCCACCAACTGTTGCTTCTTGATCGAGCGGACCGCTGTCGTATGGAAGTGGCTTCCAATTTAATACTAAATGTCGTTACACTCGAGGTCTTTCAAACTACATCATATATTGTTCAATATTTCAATTTTAATTATAAGTTTTATTTATTTCAATGAAGTTTGATACCATGACTGTAACGACGCTGCTATAAATACGCTTGATATCTGAATAACTATTTTGTATAAAGAAATAGATATAAGGCGACTTAGTACACTATTGCATTCAGAAATCAACTCATAAAATAAATATGTTTACAAAAAATCGAGGCATCTTTCTTGTGACTGCAAAATTCAAATGTTAGATCAAACTACTGACATCAAATTGATTATTTGGTCAGCAACAAACTACTACACGAAAGGTTACGTAAACAGTGACTAAATGAGTTAACGGATTATTGTCATATATCGTTTTCACTTTGGGAGAAAACATTAAAAGTAAATGGAAATATCTTACCGGTTTTAGTTCGAATATAGTACGGGATGCACAGTTTCAGGTATGAAAATAAAGATTGATTTAATACAGATGGAGTATCATTTGGATTGGAGCTGAGCAATGATTTCAAATGATTTGCTTTTATTTAAATACCATGTAAATATACCCAAATGTCTCCGTACTGACACAATCTTCTTTATTCTTTTACCTGAATCTATACATAGTATTTTTTAAAGCAAATTTTCGAAACATCCTCATGTAATTCCTTTTATTCTTGTCAAATACAATTTAATTTTAGATGCAACTAAAACCGGTAGACATTTATAGAGAAACAATATTATCATGCGAGTATTGTAAGGAGTCAAACCATTTTGCGCCTCAATGACGGCGGGCTCCACTTGCGCGAGGTCGGCCATTACGTCGCGACGCTTAGCTTCAATCTCCTTCGTTTGTTTTTCTAGAGCAACCTGTATTATAAAAAAAAGTTAAAACGTATAAAGCTATAGATAAATATAAGAAGGTGAAATTTTCCTTGTGCACACATTTTTTTACCAGTCATGAATTCATTTTATAAGAAATGAGTTGAGGAGTCATTATTATATCTTGCTTGATTAATTACTCAAGTAATCTGTCATCGTTATCAATTTCTTTCTTACGAATTGTCACAATCACTATAATTTGGTAGGCTGACAATTGTTTACGGGAGTGATACGGGATAGATACGGCCTCACATAAAACCGGCGTGAAACAACCACAGCGTTGTGTTACGCCGCGTGAGTGAGGTTACCGGAGGCCCAATACTACCCCTCCCCCAATCCCTAATTTCTAAATCCCTAATTCCCAAAAGGTCGGCAACGTACTCGTAACTCCTTTGTTGTTGCGGGTGTCCATGGGCGGTGCTGATTGCTTACCATCAGGTTATCCGTATGCTGGTTTTCCGACCTATCACAAAGAAAAAGAAAAAAAACCATACTTGGTAATAGTATGTTTCAGTCGTTAGTGGAACAGCATAATGTTTTAATGATTACAATAAAAAGTAGAAGATTAACTGTTCGTACCTGAATCTCTTGACTCTCGACCTTCTTCTTTTCGGCTTCCTGTTGGTCTTTCACCATCTGTCTTAGCTTGGCGTTAGCGGCTTCGTTCTTTTGTTGCAGTTCCTATAATGCAAATGTACAATTAAGTATATTGTATAAGGACAACGATAACGTGTAATATTAGAATAGCATACGCTTTTGATTTAGACACTCCTAGTTTCCATTTTTTTATTATGAAATTCGGGAAATCCAAGTTAAATGCGTGTCTTTATCAATTAAGTTTTGAGGCTATGCTATTAGAGCTGTTCCTTCGTGAGAATTTCTGGTCTACATAAAGGACATAACCTTCCAATCCAATGGCAGTTTGACACACAATAGCAGAGCAATGTAGGTGCGTGAACGCCGGCGTTCGCTTGGGGTTTATTTAATTAAATGCCCTTTGTGGTTGCGGATGCTGGCCAGTGGTTGGAGTACAGTTCGCTTTTCCCCAAAAGCTGTCCGCTTTTTGAAAGTTTCTCTGAGTCATAAAAAATCAAACAAGTAGTTATACCTGTGACTTGACAGCAAGGCTCTTCTGCATCTCCTCGACCTGTTCCACTGTTTCGGCGATCTTGCCAAGTCCGACGTTCAAGTGCAGTTGTTGCTCCTCCAGGTCCGCTCGCTTCTCCGCGTACAACTTCACCATTTGTTGGATAAAGTCTAGGTAGTGACTGAAATTGGCAAGAAAAGGTATATTTTGTTAGCATTTCTGTTTTAATGATGATGTATTTATTGCAAGAAAATGGAAGGACATTCACATTTTATTCAAACAATGAAACAAAGAGCAGCTTAATATGGAGTAAATGTATTTTCATTGACCATACAGTTGGTGTAGTGACAGGGCAACTGGGTTCTGCGCAACGTTTCCGGACGGGAAAATTGTTTTCTGTGACACACCCAAGCCCGGAACATAACTACAAAGTTATGTACCGGGCTTGGGTGTATGTAAATTTCTATGTTTGTTAAAACACCCAAGACACAGAAAAAATCAAAAGGAGGGGCAGGATTTTAAATAGAAGAAATATTTGGCAAGTAATAATTTTGGATAGATTGTTTCACAATCGTAAAACAAAATAAAACCGACTCACCGAGGTGTGATAGCCATGGTTCGGTTGGCCCTCTTGGCCAGGCTGGCGTTAGCTCTGTGCAGGGTCTGGTGCACGTAGACGCAGGCGTTGACGACAGCCTCGCGGTGCGACGGTCTCTCGCCCACCTCGCCGCAAGCTGACGGGAACCCGTCCGGCGGACTGTACTCCGCAGAGTCCAGGTCCATGCGCTGCGTGAACTCTTTACCGACCTGAAGAGAAATTTTACAAATACACATGAAATATCGACATTAAAATTCTTCTTTTTCAAAAAGTAAGTTATCAAATATGCGTTACAGAATTTTAAAATTAAGGTGACAATTAATTAGCATAATATTGGGCCCCTTATTCACTACTTTCCTTTAAGTTTCCTTCAATTGACTTATGTAAAACATAGTTTATAGAAATTACGTTCTACAATCTAATTTGTTCGGTACATAGTGCTTCTGCACACATTGTAGAAAGAAGTTGTAATAGCTATGGTATGCCAGACTATAGTAAAGACAATATTAATTTCATCTTATGAAAAATTTATATAATGTATTGATTGGGTTGTATTTACAAATAAAGTTCTGTTCTTTAGTAACGCTATAACTCAGGAACTGCTGGGCCAATTTGGCTAATTTAATATATAAAATATCCGTGGAAATCCAGGATAAATTTAAAAGGTCACAAAAAATTTTGAGGAGGTACGGAGATCGATCAGCTAGTATTATTATAAATCAGATTTAGTAATAACTTACTTGGAACAAAGCACCGTCGCTCCAGTCTCCGAACCAGTTGAGTACACATCTGTTGAAGAGGGCAGGCGAGGTGGCCGCGCGGTCCTTCAGACCTTCCGAAGACGGGTTCATTGTGAACACCACGTGCAAGTTGCGCATTACTTGGCCAGTAAACCTGTGACACAGAGAATATTCATTACAACATGGGAAAAAAATAATTTGTAAGAATGAATACTTACGGCCGGTTAGACCAATGTCCAGTTCTTTTTAGCCGACTCCGTAAAGAGAAGGTACCGTAAAAGAAAAAATAGTGGAATTCGGGAAATGCTTACATGACTTCAATTGACTCACAGGAAGTTGGCGTGTGAGGCTGGGATGGGCTGCTTATGATATAACTTACCATTTGTACAATTCGTCGTTGGAATCCAACATCAAGCCTTCCCTTTGCGCTCCTTCTTTGCACTGAGTCATGAGTGCTGCAAACTCGTCTCCCTCGAATAGACCGGGAACCTAAAGAGGGTAACAATAAATATTAACACTTTTAAATAGTTGTTTAATGAAGACTTCAATATCTTCCACCAAAATCTTATGGTCTATCGGATAAGATGATTATCGAAAGGTCTTAGCACGAGTAAGTATGTGTTAAGGTAAGCACATGATTGGAAACATTCTTACCTACATACAATTTTTAGATAACTTTTAGACACGCCAATATTGTTTACATTTAGTTAATTAAAGTTAAAATTAAGTAAAAAATTTAGTTAGGTAAACCGATAGACCATAACTTAAGTCAATTTAGGTCTCAACTAACTTTAGGGGTTACTCTATATACAACAAGAATCAAGAGAAAATATAACATCCAGTTAATTTATAAAATTGATCTTATTTCACAAACAAATTCCAGTCATATTTTTAGGATATTTAAAAACAAAAAAGTCTATTGTTATTTCACTGAATGCCTTACCTCTCCGTTAGCCAGCAGAGTGTTCATTCTCTCGAGGAAGCCACTGTCAAGCACATTGGACTCGTCAAGTATGAAGGCAACCTTCTCATCGCGGCACCCGGCGCGACGGAGCACCGAACGCAAGTCTTCGTCGAAGTCCGCACCCGTGTATTTGTTGTGCACCTGGGAAGTAAAATTAGATTCGCTCGAAATTAAACTTTATGATATATGGCATGGGAATCATTTTCAGTTGATTTAAGTAATATTTACACACTTTTATGCTTGTTTAGTATGCTGAGTAAGATGATCTTACAATTAAGGTTATTACAAAATTATGTTTTGAAATTGGAATCTTTTAAAATTAATTAATTATTTCATTAAAATTGTTGTTAGAATTTTAAACATTTTTATAGTGGCAGCCATCATGGACGAAATCTGTGCCTAGTGTAATTAGTATGCTTGATATTTATATGATGATGATGATGATGATGATGATGATGATGATGATGATGATGATGATGATGATGATGATGATGATGATGATGATGATGATGATATACATAGGTCTAACTCAAAAAGAAGGTATTACCTATAATCCTAAAAAATATATTCCAAGAACAAAGTTCAATTTTGAAATATCCTCTTTTATGAATTAGTGTTTTCTATTAAACTAACGATTACGTAAACATTTTAAAGACAAAAAGTTACCTTAATCTGGAAGATGCTAAGCCCGTTCATCCAGGCGACGAAGCGACTGAGGGTAGTTTTACCAGCACCAGAGACTCCGATAAGGAGCAGATGTCCCTGCGGCTGCCTGAAGATACGGTCGATACGCAGCACGTGGTCTAGGACCTCGTCGAACAATACCAGGGGCACGTCCAACTCTTCCTCGTAGAACACCTTTGGAAGAATATTTAAATTAAGTATTTATGTATATTCGTTTCCTTTCACGGATCACAGGATCCCGGATCTTTGGAAGGCGTACGAGGAGCCAAAGCCAACTCGCAGAGGCCCGTTGAACAGTTTTTATATAATATTGTTGCCATTCGAAAATCGTTTGGGTGACAGTGACATCGAAATCTTGTTTCCTATTAATTTATTACTTAATTCTGAAGAGTTGTATACGTTACGCAAAAACTATAGCAATTTTGCAGGGCTACATTTTTTACGAAAATATCACCTAAGTTTTACTAGGATTTTTGTACAACTTTTTATCCTAATAAAACGCAAAGAGTCGTTAGTAGATTTGTATTTTCATACAAACACGTCGTAAACTCATGAATGCGATAAGACCGCCATTGTAAATAATTATATCTTAAGCTTTTCTGAATATATATTTTTACGGTGTAAAATAAAGCGTAAATAAATAAATACATGTTTGTACATTTTGTATTAGCATACCTTCAGTCGAGCCTTGACGTATTCACGCAGTTGGTCTCTGTGTACTGGCACATAGTCCTTACTTAGCCAGTTACTGTAGAGGATTGGACGAGCCAACGCTTGTTCCCTGTTGATACCTGGAAACAACAGACATGTTAAACAAAATTATACTTTAAAATCTACCCTATAGAATTCAAACCTGTATTTTTAAGTAAATATTCAAAAAGTTTTTATTAAAATGTAATGATCCAATCAGTATATTATGATGCTCGAGTCTTCAAAACAAAATCTGCTTTAAAATTAACAGCATAAAGTTCAATTTGCATTATTTGGTTACCTGGGAAGAACATCATAGCGACATTGTCAATGTTCTCGTCGGTCCATTGCCTTTCCGTTTCGTCGACCAAACGATCTTGGAAGAGACGCAGAGCTTCGTGCGCCCACAAGCGTACGAGGCCTTCGACGTTTAGGTTATCTAGAGGCCTGTGTTGGTAAAACATTTTTATGAATATAGGTAATAAAAATTAAAAAGAATATAATAAAATTTTATTCCAAAACTTTGTATGCAAAATATATCTGAAGATTAAAACAGCAATCTAAATTACTTCTTTCGACAATTTAACGCCTTTTTACGCATACTGAATCATCACACCGTCAAATAGTAGGACCAAACATCGCAAATAAATGTTGTCTTTCTGCCTTTACGAAGGTTCTCAATCCGTAATTGAAAACATAACTTTTCTTCCTATAAAACTATCTATTTATTACTTAACATAGATACCATACCTAATAGCCTCGCAAATTCCCCGCACCCATCTGGTCATCTCTCTAGGCGAGTACACATAGTGCGGCTGCATATCCTGAGTGAACCGTTCCTGCGAGGCGAGGTACAGTTTCACCATGGCCTGAGTTAGCGGCTCCGCGTACCCACGCAGCGCCGGCTGCATACGTAGCATGGCACGGGTGAATGTTCCGTAAATCTGTTGGGAAGTAAAGGATTTTTTGTTGAGATTTATTTAATTCATCAAACCCCAAGCGAACGCGTTCGCGCACCTATTGTTCATCTATGGTGTTTCGAATTACCACGATTGAAAGGTTAGAAACAAATCAACCTGTTTATTTCTTTTTATAATACGTTGCTCCACACTAGAATTTCCCTCTGTGTTGTGGATGCGTAAGATTTGTGGATTACACAAAGGGTTGTTTCCTGCGGGAATTGACACGTTGCGCAGCAGAAGGTTGCCCGGCCACCGCCTATTAAGTGTAGTCAAAGTTGGACTTTTCTCTTACAGACAAAAAAATACACCTCACGCTTTCAAATAGCTTGATACTTCAGATTTGTAATTAAGTTACAAATCCAGTGTACCTAAAGGTGACTCAAAAACACGATTTAAGTGAAAGATAGCCATGCTTCGGCACGAATGGGTTAGCTTGAGCGGAATGATGCTGCCCAATCACTAAATCTTGGAAACCCAAATATCCAAAAGGCTGGCAACGCACCCGTAAATTTTCTGATGTTGCGAGTATCCACTGGCGGAGCCCATTGCTTACTATCAGTTAATCCGCCGGCTCGTTTACCATCATAATATATAAAAAAAACTCATAAATCGGATATTTTTCTTTGCAAAAGCAAAGCCGACACTCTTTAGCTCAATAGCCATCCTTCGGACCGCTTGGCAATCTCATTCACTCATCATCAAACAATATTGATTTGATTGAATTACATGGCGAAAGCCCTTACCTGTTCCAATGAAGTTTCTCCGGGGTAGTCGACGTAGATAACAGGTACGTGTCGCAATAGTCTGTGGGAGAGCGGCTTACGGCCCGGGTCCGTGGGCGGGTTACACGCACCCACGAACTGAATGCGCTCCAAGTGTACCCACGAGTGATCTGGTTGAGAATTTTTGTATAAAATAAAAATTATACACATATTTAGGAACTTTGAAATACGTTACGATAAAAAAACTGAGCGGAAAGACAACTAGAAACTAAATATCATGGTGGATACAAACTGATTATTTTTGGCTTAATAAGATTTGTATCGCGGATTCGATAAACTATGTTTGACAATTTTGGGAGGGGATTGCTATAAAAGTTAAGCGACAGAATGTACCCTTTTTATTCTCTAGAGAGTAAAAAAGATAGAAAGGTATGATTTACAAGACTATTGAATAATCTGAATACATAACTTACCACTAGCCCTGTAGAAGCCCTTGTGTTCAAGCAACTGTCTCAAGAAGGAGATGACACGCTGAGTTCCGTACTGATCCATATCCGGCAAGTTGATTTCATCACAGAATAGTACTAGCCACTTGCCGAGCTGCAACAAATATGCCATTATTATAACTATTCAAACAAATACTTAATAAAATTAGATTTGGCGTCAAACATATTTTATTATTGAGGCACAATTTATGTAATTTATATTTCTACTATATAATGTATAAATGATTGCTCTACTAGGAGTCTTCCAGTACTAGAGTATCCCAGGACTAATGTTTTTGCAGTGACCACAGTGTAAACTAAAACACACTTTAAAGCAAAAGTTTTAAGATTTAAAATCATACCTGTACTGGTGCAAGGACAACTCCATTAGGAGTCTTTCTGTACTCGCAATAGTGATCGAATGTCTTCAGCAGTAGTTCAGGAGTTGTGGCTGAGGAGAAGTTCAGACCGACAACCTCCATGTCGGGCAGAGCTCGAAGGGCAGAGAACAGTGTCATTGTTTTACCGGATCCAGGGGGACCGCAGAGTACTGTGGAAATAATATTATGTCAAGGAGGTGTTATTATGTGTATGTGTTATTTTTGTAGGAATAATTTGCGATTTCGTGATGTATTGTCCATTGCACACACCACTATTGTATGATTTTTGGTAAATTCGTGAACTTATTTTTTTCTCTTTTTGGAGCATTGCTGTTATATTGGTTACAGAAGGTATTATTGATAACTATTGTACAATAAAAGTTTGGTTACAACGCAGGTAGAAAATTATTCAATATAATTTCCGTAAAACTAACAAGCCCGCCAAACTTTCGACAACATAATTAGTTAACCTATGCATTGTTATCAAGACTAAATTGTATGGATTCTAATCTTGATCCTCAAGTTCGAAAGACGTCTCGAACATACATTACTAAATAAAAAAATATAATAAAATATACGAACCCAACGGTTTATGCTCAGCAAGCCAAGTGTAGAGTAGGGCCTCGTGTCGGACTGTGTCCAAGGTTGGCACCACTACGTCGGGGGCGGCCACCTTGTGGGTCTCTACTTCTATTTGGGGAACCTTCGCTGACCATGGAACCCACTCGCCGGTAATGCACACCTACGGAACAACGATATTTTATTAATTTATCAAACCCCAAGCAAACACCTATTGTTTTTCTATTGTGTCTGGAATTACCATACCACGACTGAAAGGTAAATAAAGAACGATTTCTAGATGCTTTGCGCATCTGAGCTTGCGTTTTAATGCCAAAATAAATAACTTTTAATATTTTTTCATTTTGTATGATTGTCATAAATATTTTAGCTAGAAAGATATGAAATATTTAGTTAGTAATAAAAATTTCAAAAATTTAAATCATTTTCTTTTTCGTAAATACAGAAGTAAACGAAAATATGAAGTTGAAAATAGAAGTATTAACAAACTTAAAACAGTTCTTACCTCAAAGTCAATGATATGCTGGTTTGCTCCACAGTTAGGTAGCTGCATGGTGCTGGCAGATCGGATAAAGTCTCCAAGTTCATTACGATCCTAAAAGCAAAACATACAATTACAATCTGCCTTAACTATTTACCAGAATCACACACAGTTCATGAAAGACAGATAATATCAGCACAAAACCCTATCTCAATCTGTTTAATACATTTTCAAACGTATTTTATTGCAATAAAGACGAGAACCTTTTAATTATTTTACTTAATTCAAGCAACTTGATGAACTTAATATTGACAGTTTGATACTAACCTTAAGTTTAGCATCACCGGCGAAGGACCACAGCAGAGAGTAAACAAGCCATTTAGGCACGTAAGCCTCTAGCTGTTCATTTGTGATCGGGAAGTCGGGATGCTGGCGGTTGTATGCAAGGATGTTCCTAAAAGATAAATTTAAGTTATTTGATATTTACAGAACAGAAAGTAAAGTTCTCTAAGGTAAAAAAGGAGGGTCCTCCGACCAGGCGAGGTTTATCATGCCTAACGGGTTACTGCCCTGTAACCTATTATAATTAAGTAAGACTTGTAGAATATAGGTGCTTGTGTGGGCTGGGAGCTGTCATGCTCACTCAGAGGTCTCATAGGCGGTGGCACGGGCACTGGATCGCCCAATCCCCTATAATATGGTTGAGTTGGGCGGTGCTGGTCTACGTGTCATGTTCGTGAACGGGCGCCGCCTATTGGGACTGGTCATCTCCAGGCTGTCTAAATATGTTGTCCTTGAGGTTCACTTCTTTTTCGTACTTTTTGCCTGAACATTAGTGTTACATTGTTCTCACATATCAGAACCGACTAAATGATGTAACAAAGAAATGTGTTGTAAAACTGATTGAAAAAGAGTAACCATGGAGTTTCTTGCTCGTTCTTCTTCATAGGAATCTACACTTTGGAACGAGCAAATAGCTTCACTAGAGGACAGACGGACAGACTGACACGCTTAATTTTAAAGCTCTTGTTTTATACTTTTTTGCTTGCTTGACGTTCAAAAGTGCCTACTGTGGTCTAATTGAAATAAATGATTTTTGACTTTTGGCTTTTTGACTGCCCAATAGTAAAGTTGGGTTTTTCTATCTATACTAATATCCACTTGAACGATGTAGAATTTTGAAGTCTTTTAATAATGATAACAATATATTATGCATATTCTTAGTTGAAATTCCTGTATGTTTGGAATAGACTGGATATTTATGTGATATTAGTTTTGTGTGAGATTCCTATTGTTAAGCTGTTATAGTTTCTTATCACTATTTAATCATTTAACGTACCTGACACCACGGTTAAGCATAGAATGCAGAGAAGACAGCGCTCTATGGCGTGTGAAGTCCATAATATGGTCGAGGCTGACTGCGCGTTCAAGACACTTCACAACTAAACCATCGCCGAAGAACAGAGGTTGTAGTATAGCGGCTACGTCACGTTGTGTCTGTGGGATGAAGGATTTGTTGAGTAGAGAAAAAATTATACGGCCAAAATGAGTAACATCCTCCTCTTAAAGTCAACTAAAAACAATTAATATCCTTCGATTCTTTCTTGACTAAGTCAATCGCAATATACATATGTCGGTAGTTTTGGATATTAAAAACGGAACTTTCGTCATAGAAGTTCATACAAAATATGTACCGATAGGTACGATGACGTGGAACAGGCTGTACATTGGTATACTCGTAAAATATACATTATTTGGTGTATTAACAGACTGAATCACTTTCTGATATGTGTATGTGAGTGTAACCAAAGAATAATAGTTTAATCGATATCTACAATGCTCATTCACTCTTCGAAGAAGCATATTTAGAACCGAATTTGAAACTTATTTCTAAGAGAATTAAAGTGTTTTTACGTCAAAATACTGTGACAGCTTACTTGTAAAGCAGGAGACAAAATATTCTCCGTGGCGTTCTGATCTCCACCAGCAGTAGGTGCAGCCATCACGATACTGAATGAATCTTCTTCTCCATCTTCGAGCGGGATGTTTCTCAATCTAAGAGATGATTTTTGTTAGGTAAATTTCTTGTAATTTGGTTACAGAGAAATTGCATGTTGTTTAATTAGTTAGTCACTTACCTCATAAGATAGTTTTCGAAAATCATTTCGGTGGTAAGGACATCCTGTGAGAACCAGACCATACCACAACGAGATACTGTAGCAAGTGTAGCGTATTTCAGATCTTGTACCTGAAATAAATACAACAAAAACCTAGGTGTTATAAACATGTAATCAATAAAAGCTAATTACCAAAAACATATGCAAATTCCGGAGGTTAAGGCGCTGCTCCTCATGCATGAAGGTGATATGATTATTTAGACACCACTGACACACGGTAAAAGAAAACATCGTGAGGAAACCAGAACTTATAATATCTAATTATTAGTTAGAAATAGCCAATCAGGTTTGAGCAAGCGTGGTGATTAATACTCAAGCCTATTTTGTGCGAGTAGTGGCCACTTATAGGCTGATGATTTGATGTGACAATCATTTTTAGTCTTTAGTGCAATAAATATCAAATTCCATGTTCTTACCTCAAACATCACTCGTACATTAGGAGGCAAAGAAAGACGCTCTCCGTTGGGTAAAGTAAGCAGCTTGTTGTCATCGAGTACTGAGTTCAAGTTCTCCACCCACTCGGGGTCTACGTCACCGTCGAATATAATCCATTGACGTTTGTTGATCTCACCACGGACGTTGTCGATGATTTTCCTGAAGAGTATCATTACGATGTATTTTATTAGTACATGGTTTGTCGTAGTTAACTTTACTTCTGTACTTGTAGTTAAGTTACTAAAAGTTATGTCAATAATATAATGATGGACCGCTAATTACGACACCCTGTATAAGAAAGTCTTACTATAAGGTGCCAAAGATGACAAGGTGAAAGAAATAAAGCTTGCTTTCTTACTATGTCTGGTAATATATGTATAGTAATAGTGTAGGGCTGAAGAGTTTGTTTGTTTACTTGGACGCGCTAATCTTCGCGGGACTATTGGTTCTAATTGAACAGTTATTTTTGTTTTGGATAGTTTATTTATCGAGGAAGGCTATAAAACATTACGCTACGACTATAAGGAACCGAACAGCGGGTAATACCCCGTGAGAGTAACTAGTATACTTATAGAACCACATCTTAAATAAATAAAATATTCCTTTACTTTATTTGAATTAAACATCTTCTTTCTTCGTTATATGGTCTCACTCACAAAAAAGTGCTTAATAAAATGACTTACCTGAGTATATGTGTGAAGAGACCATCGGTCCATTCACGAGTGTTGGGATCTAGAACACCATAAAGTGTTTCCTTGGACATCGCCTTCGGGTCGATTACGTGAGCAACGCCTTCCACACCTTCGTATCTACACGAAAGACAACATAATCTTATGAATACAAAAATATATGAAAGGAAAAAAATGTATAAAATTATCACTGATCTCGTAATACTGGCAGCTTATTTGAGCTTTTAGTATACTAACCTTTTTTCAATATTTCAATTATATAGTTAAGTTTTTTTATCAGTCTGTGGGATATTTACAGCTGTAAGGAGGTTAGATATCTATCTATTAAATCTGACACAAATAATTTAAATACCTTTCAAGTGCTTTAAGCAGTACACGCCACGCAGTAGACTTTCCACTTCCAGACGGGCCGACCATCATGAGACCATGGTTCAACTTGCAGATTTGGTACAATTGAAGGACCTGCACATATTAATGCACCAGTCAGTCTCCAGTCAAACACCAATCCATAATCCCCTTTCTTTAAAGGATTATGGACATACTTACATACATTTTAGCACAAAAGAGCAAAAGATTAAAAGTTCAATTCAATAGACACAATAAACCAGGAAACGAGAGAGGAACTCCTCTAAATAGGAAGCTAATGAGTCATTTGGCACAACATAAAAGAAAGTCGAAAGCCCATAAATTTCATCTAGAACTTAAAGAATTTCCGCAAGTATCATCAATTTGAGTAGTTTGAGTAAATTGGACAAAAAAGATGCTCAAATATTATGGTAGAATAACATAAATATAGGTTTTTCACCATAGAACTTTTATAGCGTGTGGAATAAGATTAAACAGAGTTCTAGAGCACTGCTGTACAGGTAAACATTTTTATGTATTAATGTAGGTATCATGTGATAGCAAAACTGTGAAAAAATATACAAGAAAATATTGAGACAGTGACGGTTTGACCAGGTGTAGTGGTGTGTTAGCTTAGAATGAAGTACAAGTCCTCATATGCGAATGGTGCCTGGAAAACATTATCATTGACAGTTAATGGAATACATTACGCAATAACAAAGCATATATAAAACTTGAAAGCTTAGTTTTCTTTATGGCATAGTTCGGAAAATGAGTTCGGATTATCTGATGGCAAACAATGGGCGCCACACAGGGACACTCGTTATAGCAAAAGAATTACCGCGATTGCGTTGCCTGTTGGCTTTTGTGGGTTGTTATGGTAAATCCCTATTAGGGATTGAGGATTCGAGGATAGAGGATTGGGGAGGAGGGGAATTGGGCGTCCAGTAACCTCACTGACACCGCGAAATACAAAATAAATATTGCTTCACGCCGGTTTTTTGTGAGGCCGTAGTATCACTACGGTCGAGCCAGCCCATTCTTACCGAAGCTTGGCAATCCTACACTTAGTTGATTAGTTGGAAGATTTGGTATATAAGGTAGGTGTATTCCATTAACCATCAACCCCATAACGAAACAACACACATATGCAACAATGTAAGGACACAGAGCACACCCACACCGGCGGGTCACTGACCTTCTCGATCCACGTGCTGTGCTGGGCGCGCGACGATGCACTGCGCCTCTACGTGCCGTTAGCGGGTTAGCATGGAAACGCATATGCATACACACTCACGTACTACCGTATTATGATATCATATAACAGGTAATATGCGTATCACGAGACTGGCTTTTACTATATTCATTCATCATTATGTTCCATACAAAAAAGTATAAAAAAAAAGTTCAATAAAAACCAGCCTCATGTCAATAAAATGGATAAAGCAAAATGTTAAATTGTTATGATCATCGTCGCATGAAATATAATATTTATTAATAAAATACAAGTTACACTTTTAGATATAAAACTCATGTCACACCATCACCTATCTGGTTAAATGATTTATATAAGTTATGGATGGTTATATATTAATATAAATTAATTATAATAATCAAACGACGTGCATAAAATGGACCTGGTGTTCAAACAAATTGACTGTGCAGTCAATGGAATGATGGTTATAAGTTAATCCTTGACCAGTTAATTATTTGGGAATATTCACCATTCATTAGCAGTTGTTTAGTAAAATATAGTACCTTATCCATCCAAGTGGAGCCTTGTTCGTCACCTTCTCCACAAACCAAGAACTCTTCGGCGCATACCGCACGGATCTCATTCTTCAATCCTGTTCAAAATGTGTGTATTGAAATTTCGTGGATAATTTAAAGAAATATTAATAAGGATGCGTTCTTTATTTATACCTTAGTTTTAATGAGTGAAAACTATAAGTTTCTGCTACTAAAATGTATATGTCACCGGAAAATAACAAGATCCGTAAGTTTATCAATTTACTAGGAAGTTTATAAACTTTCGTAAGATTCTAAACGGGAGATAAATTGTAATATTTTACGTCCACATTTTCGTAAATTTATCAATTTCCGACGTCATACGGTAAATTTATAAACTAACGAATATCTATTCGTAAGATTTTATATGGTTCGACCAATCACAGAAACTTTTAAATATACGATCTTTGAAATAAGTAAAATAACACACTGCTCTCTGATTGGTCAATGTTCATAGACTTTGGAATAATCAGACTTGACAAACTATAAATTGGGAAGCAACAATGCCTGGTTCCTCTCTAGCACGGATGTAGTGAGTTTAGTTTTCTATTATCAGTTTCAATAAGCTATTTAACAGTTACTTGCTAAAATACAGTTCCGTGGCCAGCAATGCCGCGAGGAAGGAGAAGTGACACGTCATGACCAAGGGAAATTGGGTTTCATTTTTATATAAACAGATCGACTTACCAGTCATCTCAGCCCTAGTGTAACCAACGTTAGGGAAGACATCGTTGAGTAATGAGAACAGCAGGGGTATGTCTTCAGCGACTAGTTTCGGCACCATGGTCTCACACACTGATTGGATCAAAATATCTTGTTCTGGCAAAGACTCAGCAATCGATGCCTCATCGGGAACTTCCGTACCACGTTCGATTAGGTTCTCCTATAACATAATAACAGTGCTCAACTATTTGATATCCTATTTATATGTGATTAAGGCAGATTTTTATTTAAAGCACATATATTTAAGGTTTATAGAAGACAGACAAATATCAAGACACACAACAGTAAAAGGGCAGTTGACTACTTTTAAATTTTATTTTTAAAAGCTAAGAGGAAGCGTATTTATAAAATTATTTATATAAAGATAGTTACGGAAATTGTCTAATAAGTATATATTTTCAGAAAATTTCATGCGAAAAGGACATTTAAAAACAGGGTGAGTTTTTAAGAAACACTTTTTTGAGACATAATATCTGTTCGGACCAAATGGCTTCCAATAGAACAAAAAAAAACTCAACCTGTGGAGCGTTTGTTTGCGATAGATTTTAACAAGGAATCGTAAATATTCGGTATATCACGGTTGGTGCCGATTTTCTAGCATTTGTTTCAACTTAATATATTTCTATCATTAACTGACATTAGAAAATAGAGATGTCAAAGTTTTCACGTCTTAAAATGAGCCTTAATCGTTGCTTTTTTTTTATAACGTTCAATAAATTATAGCAATAAATTAAAACAAGTCATTCATGTAGAAAAAAATCAGCCCCATTATCCTTTTTTTTTTCTTTAAAAAAGTCAACTACCATATTGTTATCATAGCTTACCATATTCTGAAAAGATTTTTCTAGTTTCTGTTTGTTCCGAGCATAAACAAACAAAACATGTTACAATTTATTTTATAAAAGTCTTGCTTTCAACCAATTCTCAACCTTATGTTCAGCAAATAGCTTCCATTATTGTGACAAGAACGAGTTAGGATTTGATCATCAAGTCTTGTCATATAATGTTTGTTGGTAAAGCCATGAGAAATGATGACTTATATCTATTGTAGTTAGAGTTGTATTTACCTTGATCTTCTGAATGCGGTCACGTTTGACGTTACCCGCAGACACGAGTACGGACTTGAGCGCTCGTAGACCGAAGTCGTAATGGGATTGGTTGGATAACTGTTCGTCGCAGAGTCTGCGAGGGTTAAGAAAAACATTTTATCTCCGGTACTTTACAAGTACAAATTATAAATATACTGACAATGCAGCCAATGAGCAGCGTAGTTTAAAAAACAGGTAAAGGGGAACATTCAATATTTATTTTGTTTTTAGTATGTGTAGTTGTTGCATCACAACAGAAATATATCATGTGTTTAAATTATATTATTAATTATAAAACAGACAAATAGACGATCGGAGAGGGGGAGTCTAAAAATTAGAATATATAAATAGAATGGTTACAAATAGAACTGGCCATAATCCGCCATTAATTAATCATAACCGATCATTCTATCAGTGTTATAAGTCAGAGAAGATTTTTTGTTATCCTCCTTAAAAATATTATGTAAAATCACTCACTTGAAGAACGGCACAATCTTGCAAGCGAGCTTCTCAGCGGTCCTGAACCCTTGGCTGAACAACATGACTTCGGCAATCAGTTGCCTATCCGGAGTGGTCATGGCCAAGCTTCGGAACAACTTCTTCAAGTTGTCGGGCAAGTTGGAACGGCCAGCGTATCCAGGATTCATTGTGATGAAGATGGCCATGTCTTGGCTTACACGGACTTGTTTGCCGACTAGTTCCACTGTTATGGACTTGCCTATGATAAAAAATAATAGTGTAATAGTTTTCAAGGGTATTATTATTAACTGTACTTAGGTAAATCATATCGCGGAGATTAGACTAAGAACCGAATGGATATTTACTAGTATTGTCTCCTTCCTGGTGACTCTTGAGCGCCTCTTGAATGGTCTGCACTTGTTGGGAGACGGCTGACAACATTCTCTCTTCCAATCGATTGAACTCGTCGAAGCAGCCCCAGGCACCCACCTAAGGCATAAAGGAGTATGTTAAATGTGATATTAAACATTTGCTTGCTACCCAAAGATCAATGAAATGGTCAATATAATATATTAATTGAATGTTGTTAGATTTTTTCATTGTATTTCTTCTGTTTGAATGTTTACCTGACAAAGACCAACGAAGATACGGCCCATAGCTTGGAAGTCGAAGGTTTCATCGCAGTTGAATACCAACACGAAACGACCGAGCTGGTTGCCGAGAGCCTTGACTGACTCCGTCTTACCAGTACCAGCGGGACCTAGGGAGTATTTTCAGTTAGTTGTATAAACACAAATTTAAATAGCATCAAAAGTAATTACCTTTCACATCATCATCTTCTCATAATGGCTAATTAGGTAGTATTCTAAGTCTAAAATAAATTAATTCGACGTTTCAATACAATAACATATTTAATACTTTTATTCATTAATCGATCGATACACTAAGTTTTAAATATTTTTTAGCTAATTATAAAAAAAATAAGTAAGCTATTTGACGCAAAAAACTGTATTTTATACAGTAGAAATGTATAAGTATAAAGTAACGTTTTTGACATTTGGATAAAAGTTTCAAATTTGACTAGTAGGAAAGTACCGTATTTTAAGTTAAATAATTATAAGGTCTGTGTGATTATTTTGATTTTTTTAAAGATGCGCTGATTTATTTCTCTCTGGAGATATAGATTAGCAACAGGTAATTTAACAAGGTCGCGTACTAAAAATGTAGATTTGGTGTTCAATGAATACAAAACCAGTATTTTGCAGCTAAACGGCTCCACATTTCATAACTATCTTAATAACAAAGTTCATTAGACATTCAATAGGGGTTGTTATACATACCGAATGGCGATCCTCCAAGCCTGGCTTCCAAGGCCTGCGTCATGGTGAGGTAGCAGCGATCCGTCAGCGGAGTTTGTACTAAGCGGTCTTGTACTCCAAGGTATTCAAAGCCGTACAGGAATTTGGCGTTAGCCATATGGATGGTGAGTTGTTGCAATACCTAAAGGAAAATAAAATGTAAATGTCAAAATGATTAAAAGGTTCACGAACTTGCAGGTATAAGTATCATAGAAAAATAAGCCAAACATTCCATATTGTATTGCCCAAATAAGGCATTGATTTTAAAATTTCTTGCCCCTCAGAAGCACAACGACATTTTTAAACGCATTTATAGTTCTTTTTGTTTAATAAAACAAATCTACATACATTTTGTAACTTGAATATAATCATTTAAATATTTAATTAAACGTGATAAAGTGGTGAAGCTATACAAAACTACAGACAATACTATTTTATTATAGTTGGTACTTACGTCATTATTTCTAGGATCGAAGTAGAACCGCATCTCGCAGAGCCACTCGAACGAACGAGGGCTGTTCACGTCTGACGCGATCAAACGACGCGTTACCGTACGCTTGTGGACGAACTCGTTGATCTAGGGTAAAACAAACAAGAAAATTGTATAACATCATGCATTTTTTCATATATCTATATATGTCTATTTATATATGTAGTGTTATAAGTTACTACTATTAAAAGAACTTTATGTTTTAAACGTATTTTTTTATAACTTGAAACGGTTACAGGTGCAGTTAGGCTGTTTTCAACCTTATTACTTTGGTGATAATGTCGAAAATTGTCTCAAATCTTACCAAATGTTCGAGTTTCTTCCTCCGGAGTGGGGGTTGTTCTTGCAGTACGGAGTCAGCGAGTATGTTGAGCATGTTCTCGACGTGTGCCAACACTCGCTTGAGTCCGTCCCCGCCGCCGCTCGCTAGGGCCGCTTCCACGTCCTCTGACCACAGAATCTGAGCCGCTAGGACTACTATTTGTGCCTGTTGACAAGATTTGTATAAGATGGGAGTAAGAAGTTCGGGAGAAGCCAAAGGGTTTACAACTTGGGTATAAGTTATTTAATATTTAATTGTTCACTTGAACAGTCAACACAAAATGAACTAGAAGCTGAAAGGTTTTAATGTGCCATTCAAAAGTATAAGATATTACTTTTCTTTTAATTTACCAACAGTTTCTTTTCAGAGAAGCATTACTAAAAAGCCGGTTTCTATACATTGGACCTAAGCTAGAGCCCATAAACAGAGAAACAGAGACCATATCGATATTTTACACAAACTGGAAGCCCAGATTAGAGAGTTGAATTTCATAGGCCAGTATAACATCTTACCTGATACTTGTCACACCAATCAATAAACTTCTGAGGGTCGACGTTTCCATCTTTGAACTGCTTGACATCAGCTACGGCGTCCTTTAGGCGACAGGCCAAGGTCACACGCATCTCTCGCTCCACCATAGATAGCCAAGAGTTGATCTTAGGGTTCTCGATTGTTGATACCGGTGAAGTAAAGTATACCTGGAAAAACAAGTTTGATGAGTAAAAGAAACAGAATTTTACCACCATATCTATGCTCTTTTGAGTTGAGTGAGTGATGTATAGATGCGGAATGAGGGTATGTATTAAGTGTTTTGATACACCATGGAAGATGTAATTTCCTAGCAGTGGATCTCAACTAGGAAGAAAGAAAACTTATAAAATTACTCCCAAAAAATGTTAACAGTCAATAATGGAAGAGGATTAAAATTGGTTAGCAAAACCAAAAGTATGCATTTAACATAAAAAAATAAATCTTACCTCTTCACCCTCTCGGGAGGCAATACCGTTTATAACGGTGTTGTCCTCATTGAGTATGATAGCGGCGACTCCTGCGAACATCTTCTTGAAGTGCTTCTGCAAGCGAGCGATGTTCTTACTGTTACCGATGATCTCCAGCAGATCTTCGTCTCCCACGAAGTAGAACCTAAAGGTAAAAATTGATATTAAGCATTGAAGAAAAAAATCTTAAAAAAGAAATTCACATACACACATAAATAAATAAATACAGGAACCCTAAAACATAACACTCCTTTTTTTGGTCAGTCTTGTAAAACGTTTAAATCCTTCTTCAATGCAAAATTTCATATTCTTTAATAGGACAGAACGAAAATTCACGACAGGGAAGTTAATAACTTAAGAATGGTCATACCTCGGGAAACTGCTCCTCTCCCTTTCCAAGTATTCACCGAGCGCCTTCTGGATCTTTCCAAGCAAATCAGCGAGACGTTCAAGAGAGCGTTGCACTCCAGGAATATTAAGGACGTCCATCACCATCGGGGATTTTCCGACTTTCTTCATCAAGCCCAAGAACTCGGAACTAAAGGAATCATTACATATTATTAGCAGTCACAATAAAAAAGATTTTTACTTTAAAATTACGACTATATAAACAATAAAAGAACATATGATTTCTAACAAAAAAATCCGTCAATCATCGACATGTCTAAGTGTCCATAAATGAGCTACAACTATCATCACGATTTGTCTCACGTCTTGGCGATGTTGGTAGTAGATGTTCAAGAATGAAAATTTTTCACTAAAACACGTATTTTTTTTTTGTATGTACCTGATGCTCTGGAATCGGCTAGTCTCGACAGGAAGCAGGGTCTTGATGTCAGCAGACCCGCTGAAGATACCTTCCAAGTACACCCAGCGACGTTGCACGTCGATCCATACGTCGAAGAGAGCGTTGATGCGGTTCAGTTTCTCTTCCCAAGTTAAAGCTTCCTCTTCGAACACCTTGCAAACAAAGAAAATCATGACTATAAGTAACTTTTAAAAACATACAACATACACATATAAGTAACTTTGAAACACCTACCTGAAGGTAGGTGTTTCTTCGTTTAATGTGCAGTTAATGTACTGAATTTTCGACATTTATCATGCAAACATCGCAAGAAACTCTGACGTCAATAAAGTATTGCCAGTACTCAGCTTCAAGATGTTAAATATAGCAGTTCTTACATCTTATACAGCTGTTTACGATATTCTATGGTGGAATATAACATTCAATAGAATAAACTTCTATTTTTAAATGTAATGCTGTCGTGTGTTACCTTGTAGTAAGGAGAGAGTTTCATGGCAGCCACGCTGTTAATATGTTCTTTCACTTTGTTGAAAAGGTCGTCCCAGCCGCGGATGATCTTGCATTTGTTCTGGTAGTTGATCAGGTCCAGTTCGTAGCTCTGCCAGGATTCGCGTACCTAAAGGAAAAATATCCTATTCGTTTTTGATATTGCTTATAATAAAAAACACGTGAAGATTAAAAAAAGTTTGGTCTTTTGATGCACAGCTATCAGGTAAAGTAAATTCAGTCGTTTTATATTTTTTTGCTCCTTGTTCTAAAAACATCATACACACAATACACCCTTATCAATAACGACCGCTTGTGGGCCACACGAAGTCGTTCCACGCAATACTTAAACGCCGACAAAAAGTCATCAAGTTTTTTTATATAATCATAAAAACCTTCCCCCCTCTAAGATAGAGAGTTAGGAATATAATTTAGTTTTTTTTATAAAATTATCATAACACTAGCCTGTTTCAAGAATTCTTCAAGCGCCATTTCTCCCTGTGCGACGGAAACTACATCCTTGACGGTGTGTTCGTTGTGCAGTAGGTCGGCATCCCACACTTGTCCCAGCGTCAGTTCCGACAGAGACCAGTCCACCTTGAGGGCGCGGCATAGTTGGCGCCAGTGACGCTCCTTCAAAGCGTCCGATTTCAACTCCACTATCAGCATGTTGACCTGGTATATGTGAAGAATTTTAGTTTGCAATTACACCGTACATACATATTCTAATACGGTAGTTTCCAGCTAGTCAAATTCAATACTTTTATCCAAATGTCAAAATCTATAGGTAGTTTTCTATAAACTCCAATTTATGTTATAGTATTTTGGCGTCTAATAGCTTACTATTTCTAAAAGTTTATCTAAAAAAATTTAGCGAAAATTTTGTATATGGACAGATCGCTGAATAAAGGTATAGTTATTTTACAATATTATATTGTATTGAAACGTCGAATCAATTTAAGTTTGACCTAGGAAAGTAGCTAATTGATATTTCTGTGTACCAGAGCGTAAGCAACTTATTAATTAGGTCTCCGTTTGAGCTCGTATGTAATCAAGGGTAAATGGTAATGGAATAATACATTGTTGCTTTATTTAATTTCGCTATTTTACCTTAGTGTACGATTGCAGGAGTTTGCGGACGTATTCGTAGCTGTCGTACATGCGGAGACGAGCCGGCAGCTCTTTGAGTTCATTCAACATAGCTTCCAGTTGTTGCCTAGAAAGAACATATTTTAAGAAAGCTGTATGAATGCATATTTTATCTTTATTCAAATGGTACAGATATTAAATTCAATTGAAGGTCACAGTTATAAAAAAAAAAACAAAAGTTTCAAAGATATGTCCCAGTTTCCTATATGTTGAATATACCTGAGTTTCCTAGGTTGTACGGAGAGCCAAGGCTTCTCCCTGATATCATCGATCTGTGTCCAGATCTTGCTGAGCGAGGACCACACTCCACGCAAGTCCTGCAGTTCTTCCAGCGCTACTGTCATACGCTCGTTGTTGATTGAGCTTCCTAAAATGCAAAAATGAGAATTTATCAGAAATATTACGAAAATGTAGTACTTCTGTGTTTCAATAATAAATAACAAAAATTGTGTTTTTAAGAAGTTATTCTTAAAACATTTATTTATTACTTTGGATGTACAAGTGCTTTATTTTATATGAAGATAGTACATCAACTTTTACCCATACGAACTTACCAGTATCATGCAACTCAAGAGCTTCCTTGGCCTTAGCTACATTATCCCTTTCATCTTTCAACCTTGTGTATCTGGTTTCCATCGCCTGGAGTCTGGCCAAAGCGTCTTCAGGTCTAGTGGACCCATCAGTGGGCTTGCTACGTTCCCATTCAGTGAGGAACTCCAGAGTACGAGCTTCTACGGCTTTGTCTTCCGCAACAATCTTTTGTTGGAGGGAGGCGACCTGGCAAAGATTTAAAAATCGTATAATTACCGCATTCTAAAGACACTGATCCACAGAATTCTGATATGAATGATTTCAGAGCAAACAAATGTTCCTAGATTTAGAAATTTATTACAATATTTTTTTGAACTTGTATGTCCATAATTATATATTATTTTTTTAATAATATGGGTATCAAATAGGTAGGTATATATTATCATTTAAACAAAACAAAAAGATATTAATACCTGCGTTTGAATGGAAGAATCCTTTCTGCGCATAATCTCATTGAACGCACTCCATTCGCCTTCGATGTTGTCGACATGCAGCCATTGCGCGGGGAATTGGAATCTAAGTAAAAAAAGGATCGTATAAGTTCGATGCACACTCATCTTAGTTCAACCTTAAGGTGAATGTTATACGGTTTAATTTTTCTTACCTCTGCCTTTCCAAAATGCGCTGAGCTTCCCTGTAGATGTCGACTTGTTTCTCCCAAGCTAACACCTCCCTCTTTAGTTGTTGCACGTAAGTAATGAGGGAAACGGCATCGCTGGTTGATGCGGCCTCTGTAATTATACAAAATGGTTTACAAATGGTAATGAAAATCAGATTTCTTAGTTTAATTAAATAATAAAGATAAAGGATTTGTGGCTCAAAAAATCATTAGATTAATGTGACGTACTGTATGGATGATCCCTAATTAAGAGAATCACACACAAAATGTTTTTCAATATTAATACGATTCGAGTGCCTCAAGAAAAGTAAAGAAATACATAGTTATTGTTGATGAAAAAACACAGTTATTGTTGAAAAAACAAGATATAATCTTGTTCACCTTGAACACTAAGCATATTGAAATCGAAAAAAGGACTTCATAACCATTATTCCAATAAATAAACCTTACCGATAGTCTGTTGTTCCAGCTGGCTCCTAGACTTGGCGAGCTGTGAATGGAAGGTGACCATCTCTCCTCCAAGTAGGGCTCCGAACTTGCCAAGCACCTCCTTGTGCCAGGCGTCGTACTTAAGCGCCACTTTACTCTGCACGCGCGCGAAGTCTATCACTACCGGCCCGTACTCGCGGCGAGTGTCTGATGTATCGAACGTTGTGCGGGATTTTCTGTAAAGATTTTGTTGGTTAAATTGAGACTTCTTTACTAATATTTATTATAAAGTTGGAGAGTTTGTTTGTTTGAATGTGCTAATCTCCAAAACTACTGGTTCGAATTGTGTTTGTTAGTACATTTATGAAGGTTTTAGGCGATAAAACATTACGCTACGATTTGTAGGAGCTGAGCAGCGAGTAAAACCGCGCGGCCGAAGCTAGTGGTATATAAGGTAGAATTGCCGTTTAATTTAATATACGAGAAAAGAAATTACGAAGTTTATAAACGAAAAGTTAAGTCTACGCCTATGGAAGCCTTCAAATAATTCTAAGGAATATAATTTTAGAGAACAGAGAGTTAAGTCCAACAAGATTCTTCTTTTATCGCTGATTTTTAGTGTGACGCTGCATGATTACGTATTAACTTACTTGATATCATTCAGGCATTTGATCCAGAGAGTGATGTCTTCACCAAGACGCCCGTAAAGACTTTCAGGCTGCAGATCCCAGAGAGCTTGGTAACTGAACATGAAAACAAATTATTATTAATATAATTTCAATCAACACTAAACTTTATTTAACACATTCAGTGCCCCCGACGCGTATGTGCGTGCGAGGAAACGCACATACGCGTCGGGGGCACTGAATGTGTTAACCAAAAATAGGGTATAAAATCTCTTACCGTAGCCATTCGTCGACATATTCGCGTACTTGAGAGATCTTTTGCTCGATCGCGTCGTATGCGTTTTCCAATGGAGACGATCCAGCTGGTAGTTTGGTCAACAGGTTCCTGTAGGTCGCTGTTTGTGCTCGAGCTACGCCAACTTGGTATCTATTGACATAATATATATACAAGTGATGAGATAATAAATTATAGACTTATTTGCACTTGGATCAAAAGTGGAGTCATTCTTTAGGATAAATGGGTTTTCAAGAGTTACATACAGAATGCGTTATTGAATTAAAAAATGATATTTTTTCTTATGCACCATCGAACTTTTGTCTGAAAAATAACATTTATCTTTTCACAATTTTAAGTGTGTTTATTTGGTAAAATGGAAAGTTGATTTAACTCATAACTGTATCTAAATTACCTGGTGCTTTGCAATCGATGCTGGCTAGTGACGATAGCTTGCCAGGCAAACATTTGCCGCATGAGCTGGAAGCGAGCCTCCTCCAGGGAGGGGAAGAGGTACATCTGCTGGTTTGTGATGCGGACTTCGTGGACTACGCGAGCAATCTATAAAATAAATAGCAAAGACGTGAAAATAAATTTTCTAGCGCTAAAATTACATTACCAAAGGCAAAGGCTTCGGTCTACTAGTCGAAAGAATAAGATGCCATTTGCATTCATTGATTATGGTAGTTGTTGGTTGTTGAATCAGATATTTGGCTGGCAATAAATTAATATATGATAAAAAGCCGTATTGCATGCATTGTCAGATTTTAAAAAGCCATAGTATATAAATTTTATTATATATAATAAAAACACTATTATAAAGATACTTGCCTGTGGTTCGCCACCGGGTTTATGGGTTGGCTCAGTTGGAGAGTAAGTGTCCATAGACAGGTCCAACTCATGGCTCTTGCCCAGCAAAGCTGAAGTCCATGCCTCAATACCAGCTTGCAGACGAGCGGCTAAACTTTTCTCGACCTAAGATTTTTGATAAAATGAAGTAACACAATTTTATTATTTTATAACAAAACTTATACGAAGTTTCATAACATTTTTATGTCACGTGTTTTCGGTCCTGTCAACGGCATAATAGAGCAAATAGTCTGGCCTCTAAAAAATACGTTGTTGTCCTACAGCGAAATTATTGACTTACAATCCTCTTAACTGCCCTACACAGTGCCATGTACTAACTGTAATATTATGTAACAAACCTCTTCATCAAGGCGCTGCACCCAGAGATGCAAGTTACTGTACTGCCTCAGCGACAGGTCATCAATAGCCCTCTGCAAGCGGCTGAGGATGTCAGCAAGGCTCACGGCTGAGTAGGGGCAGGTTTCTAAAGAGCGAGCGTCCACTGAGATCTGTTCCTCTACCGCTAGTAGGTCTTCAACCTGTGTAATGAGACAGAAAAAAATAAAGTAATTAAAAATAATTCACGATCAAAATAAATCAGTAATGAGTATGGTACACTCAATGTAAGGTGTTGTAGACACAATAACAAGTTCAGTAATCAAGACATGCTGTAAAATGGAATACACAACAGTTCTTTTTATCAGGATTGTTTTTAAGTATATTTTTTAAAGTATGCATGGAACATATTATTGATTTTGAAGGCAGTCAAAAATGTTGGCGTATTTAAATATTATTGTAAAGATACTCACTTTCTCTTGGAACAGAAGCACAACTTCGCTAAGCTTCTGAACATACGGGTCCAGTTTGTAAGACTCCCATACAAGAGCCATGCCTTCAGACACTTGGTTCAGCACATCACGGCGGAGACCAGCCACCAGCGGAATTATGGACGCCTTGTCACGGATCTAAATGTTTTTTAGAACATGTAGTATAGTGGAAATAAAACTATTGTTATAAAAACATATTCAATTAACTGAAAGGGTAAACTTAAATGTAAACATATAAAATAAAATAAAGCGGTAAAAGATACACCATATAATATAGGAAGCTAAAAATGATTGTTATCAAAAACTATGTTTGTAGATATTAATTTTAATTGGGTATTGAAGGTTTTTTACAACGATACAAATTATATTTATTTACTAAATACTTTTTGCTCAATTGTTGCACAATGGCGGGCCTAATGCGAAGGCATTTTCTGGCAGCCTACCGTAGGGTGATACAGAGATAAAATAAATATCATCAAACATAGTTTCTCAAAACAAACCTCTAATCTAACAACAAAAAAAGAAAAACAATAAAAATCATAGTGAATAGAGGTGTTTCTAAATATGAAAACTAAAAAAAAAACACATCGACATTTAGTCATGCAGCCTATAAAGTCATAAACTACCTTGGAATGATTCCTATTATTTAGCTGCACAAATGAAAAGGCACCCGTGTTAGTGTCACATATACGCACATACAACAAATATAGTCATTGAAAAATATTGTAGTTTTGTGATAGTTTTAAAATTCAAGTGTTTGTGCGAATATCGTGTTAATATGTTCTAGTGCTAGAAATCTGTGAAATCACACTGTATGTTCTAGAAATCTAGAATATTCGTTTTGTTACCTTCTCGAGAGTTCGTTCGTAAGTTCTCACGCTTTCTATGAGAGATATGGCGAAGGGGTACAGTTGGTTTGCTTGGTGAGCCTTGTTCACTATGGCCAATGGTACTCTGTGAAAGAAAACAAAGTGTTGATCTGACAGACGAATTATAATAAAGAAATTACGGGTACATTTATGCCACCCATTTTGTTTTACTGTTACACTACATAAAAAACTACATGCGACTGCAATATATAACTTATATTGGAAAATTAATAATTTATTGAAGAGGTCACAGGCTTCAAAGAAAAATAAACCATAAGTCATAAGCTATAAGTTGTTATTCAAACACAAACAAGTTACCTAAATCCAAGATTCTTCAGATTGCGCACTTCCTTATACAGGGTGATGATTTCAGGTAAGAAGTTGACCTTTAGCTTTAGAATGGTACCAGTTTTGCTGGAGCGAGCACGCACTGACTCAATAGCGAAGATACGGCCAGAGACGCCAAGATTACGTTGTTGGACCTAAGAAAATAACAAAGGTTAATTCAGTTTCACGTTTAAAGAATAAACAACTTTATTTTATAAACAGTAAGGTTAGTTATTGTACCTTGCGAGCCCAATCATCAAATACTTCTTGTGTATCAAGTTTGAGCCGGAAACTGTCACCATCGGCCTTTAGTTTTTGACCTTCAATATGATTCTCCCATCCTTTACCTGGTTAATATCAAAGAAAATCACTAGTGAGAAATAACGTAATTTTTATTGATTGAAAATCCTACAACTTGTAGTATTTATTATGCACTCTAAGCCAATAGTATGTATAAGGTGCATATTTGATTGGTAATGATCTCTTACCCAGTACATCTTCGACTCGCTTCAAGTACGCCGTAAGTTGGTGGTCGATCTGCTTCGCCCAAATGATGGAACCAGCCACGGGGGGCAGATCGCGCACTAAAGACAATCGGCTGCACTTCGATTGGGGATATTGTACCTGAACAAAAATAAATACCGTACTACTGTCAATTTTATTAATGAGTAGAATAGTGGATCGAAAAGTTGGCCTCCCTTTTAAAAGAAGGTATTGTTGTTCGTTAGTCACCCTAAAAGCTCTGAAAGGGCTGGATCGACTTGATTCATTTTGGTCACAATAAACATCGAGAAAAAAAGTAGTAAATAGTAAAATTTTGTTAAAAAACCGTTAATTTTCTTTAGAAAAGGAACAAAACTAATATTATTAATCTTTTTGAGGAGTAGAGTTTCTTAGGTCTGCTAGTTGTAAAATAAAATAGTCACCTTAAACTTCTCATGCAAAGTTTCGATGTCATCCTTCACTCTCTGTATGAGTTGCGTTTGGTACTCGCGGATGGCGCCCCGAATGTGTGGACGAACGAACAATGCGTTGAATCGCGAGAAAATACGGAACATTTCGTTCGCATTCTTTGCTGTTCCTAGTTGATCACGGAGATGAGCTGTGATACGGGTCTCCACACGATCTGATGACAAAATATTTATGTCAATACTTTATGCATTAAAACATGCTAAAGAGATCTTGCTTTGGTTAAACAGAAAATTATTTCAAGCAAAAGAAAGGGAAGAATCCTTTTCGGAAAACTTCTTTGCTATCTATTACCTGGGTTTATGAATTAATGTTCATGAGAACACATTGACGAAAATAATCTAATAAAACAGTTTTTTTATGTGATACTGCGTCAAACGAGTGGCCTCTATTGAAATCCGCAACACCATAGGAGTTGCAAGTGCGTTGTCGGCCTTTTGGGGATAAGGGGTTAAGAGTACTTTGGGATTGGGGAGGGAAGGAGGGAGAAGATTAGGGCTTTTGATAACCTCACTCACACGATGGAACACGTCACTATGGTTGTTTCTTTTTTCCGTGAGACTACCTCATACTATCCAGTTAATTAGATTTTTGTAATAGTGCTCTTTGAGCATATTGTTGTTCTTTAATGTTAGGCGTCAAAGTAGTTTACATCAATTATGCCAATATAGGACAGTTTTGAACATCCAATCTGAAATACGTTTAATTGCAGTTGACAAAAGTTCTCACCGATTCTGTCTTCATAACGCCTGACTGCCGCCTCCCAAGCGTCGCATCCTTCGCGGGATATATCAAGGCAGTCTACCTCCTTCACATTCTCATACGCGAGGTTGACCTGAGACACATTTATTATAGTTAGTATTTAAGCAATGTTTTGTGGGCAAAGGACAAATATAATTTTATAGTATATCTTATTAAAACAAATTTATTTACGTTATTTAAGAATATGGGCAGAAGTTAGAACTTTAAATAAAAGTCTGGAAAGAGAGATGATTAATTATCGTTTCTCTTAGACAGAAGTTTGAAAAAGGCATTAGTTATTTACCTCAGCGATGGCGTTGGCATCGGCCGCATCCATGGGTAGAGAGTGTGGTTGCGCGGGCTCCCCGCCTGCACCCGCGTCCGTAGCCACCGTAGCGCGGGGGCGGAGCACCTGCCGCAATAAATACATTGTGAATTTCGGAACTATTACTATATTCAAGAACAGCTATGTCAAGCTTCCATTGGAGAGAACTGAGATCCTTTCGCTTCTTCTTTTTAATTTATTTATTATATTTTATACGGACTAATGTAGAACTGCACAACAGAATTTATAAGCTGTCACATAATGTTAGACAAAAAAGACAGAATGCGAAAAAACTTCAAGAAACCTCAGGCTCAAATACTAATAAAAATATCAAGTATAATACATATTTATAACAATATGTAGTGCCTATAGACAGATTACTCAATAATCAATACTTTATTAGCATTCCATGTTATACAGTAAATACTAGTAATACTAGAAACAATATGGACCCGGTAGGGCACAGCTTAAAGAGGATAGAGAGGCTTGCAATTTGAATCTTATCTTAATACCTATTAGTTTGCATGTTTTGTTTAAGGGCCAAATTAAATAATATAGATCGGTGTCCATACGAACAACGTATTAAACGCTATGACATGACTACTCTACGTAACCGGCGACTGACGCAGGATCTTATGTTCCTTTACAAATTGGTCAATAATAAGCTGGACTGCTGCAAGTTAATTGAGCAGATAGGTCTTAAAGTACCACATAACATACCTAGATATCCCATTACACACCTATTCCACACAAAAGCATCGAACACAAATTTAGGAGTAAACTCGCCTCTCAATAGGCTTACCCGAGAGATGAATTATTTTATAAAATCCGTTCCAAATGTTGACATATATCACGATTCTGTAAAAGTCTTTAAAACCCAAATAATATATTGAATCCCGAACCTCACCACTTAATCTGTTATGTTTCTGTTAGTATGTAATGTAAGTTTAAGTAGAATTAAGTATTTCCTACTGATCTCATTCCTTGCATTTATGTATACCTACCTACTTATTTTCTAATTTAATGTTCCATTTCATTGTTCAATTATATTACAATTCTAATGTTGTTATAATATTTTTAATATAATTCTAATTATGTTATTGTAATAGATAGTTTCGTTCTTACTCTACTAAGTTATCACTTTATTTTTAAGAATGCTGGTTACCTGTAATTGGCGACTGTATAAGGCCAAAACCTAATGTTTCATTGTTTTATTTAATTTGCTATATACAGAAGCTGTTGGTGTACCTTTTCTAAATAAATAAATCAATCTTTAATATTTTTTGGATAAATCTATTTTAACACAATCGAAATTAACAATAAGATAAAAAGAACTTACCCTAAGCATAACAGTGCGGAGTTGTTCATGGTGCCTGCGGAAACGTCGCATGTGTTCCATGCGCGCCTGCAACCGCTTATGGGACGGCGACACGCGCCATACCATCTTCAGATGTTCATCTCGCTTCTTCTTTACAATATCTCTGTATATATTCATACAATGTATATACAGTTATAAACAGTTACTAACAATTCTTTAATATGGATAGTTTCTAATCATATGAGGAATATAGGAATATGATAATAATGATAATTTTCCAAAATAGAACTAAAAATAACAGTTGTTTAAAAAAAGCCCATGTTGATTCTATTATCTATTTGTCTATCTACAATTATCTCTCTAGCTAAACTTGATATATCATGTTGTTTATTTTATAAGCATAAAGCATTTTCATTTTTAAAAAGTTAGGCTACTGTGATGGGCCTAGCTCTTGCGCTAAAAACACACTGACTTTACGTTAGCCGCGGCTTCCTTAGCCTAGTAGCATTGCAAAGAGCTTGTTGATCAGATAATTTTCCTCACCTCAGCAATCCTTGCAGTTTTTCGTACTCGTCGTCCCAGCAAGAGAACACTTCGAAGCATTGTGTCATCACGCGCTCAAAGTCTTCAAACGGAATGTGCATAAGACGACGCGTACCAAGCACCTATATGGAAATAATATTTTTATATAGAAAACTAGTTTAGGAACGGTTTAGGGTGCTGCTTTGACGACAGGATCAATGGGTCTTGATGACTGCAATTGGGATTTATTTATTTATTATAAGGTACGCTCACACACATACACAGCTTATGTATACAAGTGGTTTTAAGTATTAGTTATAGGGATTATTCGTCTTCATGTTTAAGACATTTTTTCAACGCTTAGGTATGTGTACTAAGTAATGTGTAGAAATGTGCTTAGTTTCTTGAAACTAACCTTTAGGAGTTGCTGTCCGAGATCGCGCGAGATAGCCTCGACGAGTCTCAAACCACGCTGGATAGGGTATTTAGTCGAACGAATCTTTCGTAAGTGAGAGAAAATCTGCTGTACTGCCAATCTGTTGGAAGAAAAAGTCTCGTTAAATTATAGAACTTTAATTAAAATAGGCTACTGGCACACAACATTACATTTTTCCTTTCGAAGGACTGCAGGAAGAGATTCCATATAGGAATATGCAGTACCTATGTACCTCTGTCTCTGTATTTGTTCTCTATTGACTGTATGTATGATGTGCATAAATAATAAAGAATAAATAAATAAACATTCAAATATTTTAGTTACCTGATTCTTTCCAGTTCAGTGGCACTAAGCAGATCATTGATAGGAAAATCTTTCATGAGGGGATTGTAGTCCGAGACTGTTGCAAGAGCCTGCTTCAGACCAGTATCAGTGTCAAAAGACACCGTCGCATGGAATCTCTTACCATACTTCAGTATCTCTAAGGTTAGGGCCACCTGAAATTATAAGGTATATAAGTAACAATTTTGTTTATTATAGGACCATTTTTAATTTACAAAGTGGTGTCAGTGCTGTTTCCAAGTTCAGGCCATTCAGTGCATTAGCTAATTAGGAATACTTGATTGTATTGAAGACCTTTCTCAGTATTAAGGTCTCTGAGCAGTTACAGGTTCCTAAAGATAATTTGACTAAAGTAATGTCTTACAAGACAGTAAAGAGAACTAGTACAATAGCCAACAAGGTGACAGAAAATTATTACCTAATATTGGTATTTATTTGTATTACTACACCTAGTTTTGGTTTAGTGACACAGATATGTGGAGTCAGTTTAATGCATCATAGTATGCAAACAGATGAGTAAGAGATTTACATAAAACTAATATGGTATGAACAACAGTCATGAATATGAATACAATATAATTATAATGCTGATTAAATGTGCTGGGATTATTTAAATCTTTATTAATATCATCTACAAACCTCAATACTCTCTCGTTTCTCCTGGATTCTATGAAGAGCCCTTTCTAAGTTAAGCCAGAAGGAGATCTCTTGAAGGGCTGTTCCATTGGAAGGGTCTCGATCCAATTTGGTGACCTAAAAATTGTGAAAGTTAAAGGCAAGCTTCTTATTAATTATTCTTCATTACATTTTCACCTTTATCATAGACAGACTTATTTTTACTATATTTTACAACATCAGGCAAGATTTTATTTGAAATTAATTAAAGTAATGTAACTTACTTTTTGGATTTCTTTGATCCAGCGATTGACTCCATTCTGCAGTTGATTGAGGAATGTCGAGTCTTCCACCTTGTCTCCAAAGTCAGCAACTCGAGGTTTGCGCCCTTCATCTGCAGCTCTGTTACAAATATGTATATCGAAATCCATGTATCAACATTCTACAAAATTAATTATTTTTTTTATGTTTTAATTCATCACATATTTTCTAGTTCACTTTCAAATGCCTATTATATAAACATCTTTATCAATAGTTTATACATAGGTCCAGTAATACATAGATTTACGATACTGTGATTAACATGTGGAAAACCATGGGCGATTACATGTGGGCCACGCAATAGGAGGGTTTTCCCTCAACAGTCTGTCAGTCAATGACTTAAGTATTAAAACATTACTTGTTGGCAAATATCATACCTTTTGATGACAGCAGCTACAAGGGGATGAACAGGCAGGGTGATCTCAGGAATATCAATGTTTTGTTGAAGGTGCAGAAGACCCATCTCTAACTCGGCAATCTTCTTCTCCACTGATGGAGCCATCTTGTCTCCATCCCTATAAATTACACTTATCATTTGATTGCACAAGAAATATAAAGAGAAACAATTTTAAACAGACTAAAAAAATGCTAAATTAAAAATACTTTTTTAAGAATGAGATTTGTTTAAATATACAAAATTGAATTAAAATGATAATGAAATTTGTAAATCTTTCATTTATTTATTTACCTGTCAGCCCTACCACTCTCTTTCACATAGCTCTTAAAGAATGGAGCCATGGTTTTGCTAATGAAAGCATGAAGGGTTTCATAGGGAGAGCCATCAGACAGGTTGATGAGACGCAGCTGACTGTGAATGGACTTGTCAGCTTCAATGACTGCACCACGCTTGATACACACAAAGGCTGCCACCCGGGAGGATGAGAAGTGAACCTAAAACAATAGTTAATAAGTTTGTTTTCCATTTTTAGGATATGATGATAATTTCTATGTATAGTAGGTATATGTAGTATTTTGTACTTTACCTCATTACTGATTTGGTAAGTAACAGCTTCTTTCTCCTCTTCACCTTCAGTAGGTTGTTCACTATCATCTTCTAAAATTATAAAATAATAATTATGTATATGAGCAAATTTGACATTTAGGCTTTGAAAATAATTGCTTGAATTTAAGAATAAGACATTTGAGTGAAAAGTTTTCTATAGCATGACTTCAGTCGACTGACTAATAAGAATAGCGTGCACTGAAGTGATATAATACTGCAGCAATGCAGGTAGAAAGTTGACAAACTAAATAAGCTGAATAAAAAATAGGGTGATGTCACACATACCTTTGGAAGAAAACCTTTGCACGTACAGTGAAGACACCTGAGGGTCTGAGATGAACTTTCGAATGCAATCTTGGTTCACTTTGTCGTCCAAAGCAGCGTTTAAAGCCGGTGGAACAATATCATCCTCAGGCAAAAGTACCGTTGCGGCTCTGCGTAAGTAGTTCGCAAAGTCTTGGAAATCGACAACGACAACATTTTGCGATTCAGGTGAATTCTCACTTCCATCTAAAGAGTCTCCCATGATGTATTTGGGAGATCTCTAATATTCTTATAAGAATCAATAAAGTTTTTTGGAAATCGGCCGCAAGTTGTTGCAGATAGCAGCCGTCAAACGAAGTGAATGATGACGCATCGGAAAGTGTTGCAGTTTAGAAAAATATTTGACAGCTGTTCGTATTTTGTTTAAGTTTGCAATTATTTGGCAAATGAAAGTACCTATTCAGATCTAAATTAAACAATAGTTAAAGTCACATCAATATTTGTAGGTACAAACCGACTACTTGATAAAAAATACAGATTGATTTTTTATTCCTATTTTTTTATTTGGCAATATTGTTCGACACCGCCACAGATAAAAGGAAGCTGAAGCACGTTTAGTTATTCTGCATGTTTGCATTTAAACACAAATTATATAGTTCTCTGAACCAACTACTTTAAAGTAATCTAATATATAAAATTCTCGTGTCACAGTTTTCGTTGCCATATTCTTCCGAAACAGCTTGACCGATTTTATTGAATTTTTTTTGCTTATAATATCTATGAGGATCGGCCACCATCTATTTTTTATCCCCCGAAATGTTAGGGGTACTTAGTCTACAACAATTTTTTTTTTATTTTTTAGGAAAAAAAAATAATTTCCTTTTTTTTTATGATGAAAATCAATCGATGAATAAAAGTATAGTTATTTTTCGATATTTCATTGTATTAAAATGTCGAATTAATTTATTTTTGACCTAGGAAACTACAAAATCGCACGTGCCGTCACTATCTAATAAAAATCCGCACCAAAATCGGTTGCATATGCTTAAATCTTTGAAATTATTCAAAGATTTAAGCATATGTACCTACATTAAATGAACAGTGAACAGTGTAACAATGTACAGATTGGTACAGATATAAGAACAGAAAAAGCGACTTTGCTTTATACTATGTAGTCTTAAACAACAAGAAAATGGTTAGTAGGAATTCAATTTCTTTCAGCCGGGGTTGCGGGTTAAGCGCAATGAGTCACTGCGGCCTCGGACCAGAGCAGGAGAAGGAACGGGGGGTTTTTAGTCAGTAAGAGTCTGACACTCTCTTTCGCCTTTCCTGAGCGGGAGAGGTCAGTTGATGATTTTCCCCTGTCAAAAAAAAGGTAGTCAATTTATTTGGTGTTTTTTTTAAGGGGAAACTCCCGCTTTTGGTAAGGCGAGTCAAATGCGCTTTCACCCGCTTGCTTAAGAATTTTGGCCGTTTAGTTCTGAACCTACATCATATTTATAAATAAACCATCCCTTAAGTTGGCTACTGAATTAAAACGCACGCTAGTCCTATGGTCAGTAACTTCGCTTCCTTCAAGCTCGACCGACAATGAAAGTATGATAGTTCGTACCTACCAGCTACCTACCAAGACTCAATGGTGGTGCTAACAATTATGTTATCTTGAATGGTTTTAGTTGAAACTAAGCATTAGGTTTAAACGCCTATTTAAGACTAGTTCTTAAGGTTGTAGGTAGTGTATTTAGTTGCCTGGCCCATTTTCAAGAATATTCGGTAAGTTTTGTTTCTACGGAGCCCTTTCTACAAAGACATTTTCCAGAGCGATAGAGCGTCCAATATCTTATTATAGTGAGCTTGTAAACTGACGAAATGCTCCTCGAATCACTGCCTTTATGACTTGAGTTACTGATATTCACCTTCTTGTACTATTCTTGAGAAAAAAGTGACAAAGTAAAAAGAGTTATAAATCGCAGCACCTAAAGTTCGGTTTTCCATGTCGGATTTTAGAAAGTCGTGTGAGCTGATATAGGCAGATTTTTTGTCGACTGTGATGGATAAAGCGAGGAAGATGCGGACGACTTGATTGAAAATGCCGTAAAGTGAAAAGCTTTTAGGGATTTTTAAATTTAACAATAGAAACAGTGTCTGTCCGTGTTGATTGTTGATATCTTATGATCGAGTGAATATTGTTTACTACCCGCCCCACAAAATGAACATCGAAACTTATTTTTTTGGCGATTGTTTTAATGTTCCTACTTAGTAGGTGTAATAGTTGTGGGACGGGTCCAACAAGTTACCCGCGACACAAAAATTTGATATGTCCCACATGTCAAATTTTTATGTCGAAGGTCCATATGTTGTAGGTTGTCCAGCCTCTGCATCAATCGCGTAATCTGATATTAAATATACCCAGATAAGTACTCAGGTAGTTAGGTAGATACCTACATACAATTACTTAGGTATTATCTTCTAACTTAGGTCTTATTTTGTAAATTTTAAAAGCTCCTTAATAATCTCGCATCTTTCTTTCGTTTCAAAAGCGTAGGTGCCTAGTTAATTTAACGTAATTAATTAAATGTTTTCGACTGCTAAGTAGGTACTCGAGTTCTAGTTCATTTCTCAGTATAAAATTTTAGGTTTTACCTAATCCTGTTTTATAAATCTTAAGCTCAAATAAATAGAAGGTTATTTTGTTAGAACAGCAGGTACACGATAAATATTTAATTGCATTAACAAAACGTGTCGTAAAAACGAGAAGAGTTACTAGGTAACCTGCCCTTCGAAAAAGAAAAAGAAAGAAAGGATCACAAAATTTGAATTCAGTGTTACCAGCTGAAATTGATTCTAAATTCAAAAGTTTCTTATGTGTGCCAGTTACTGTTAAGTTTTCGTTCTGTAGTGATCCTATTTTCGCTAGTTCCCAAGTTTTCGAAGAAAGGGTGAAACGTTTTCGTGTGGTAATTTGTCGCTAAAATCCTTATTTATTGCAACAGAGAAGTTGGATCGGCCCCGGGGGCAAATTCGCAAACTTTGCTCCTTTAACTTCGCTTCACCGAGTACCGACACCTTGGGCACATATTGAGGTTGAATCCTCGTTTTCTTGTTTCAATAGAATTATGGAGGGTTACTTTAAATGTTGTTTTATTTTCAAACACGAGATGTTTTTCAAAACACTTTTTTGATTACAGCAAACAGAAGTAGGTAAGTAAGTGTCTGCTATTTTTAGAAGTTCCCTAGACAATCATTTGTAACATGACTTCGTCAATAAGCTCAGTAAATAAGCGAGAACAACTTAACAAAGGGTAATTCTCTAAATTCAGGTGACATAATACTTAATTAGGTACTTACGCCGTATTCTGGGAGCAAAAGTTTAAAATTAAACAAACAACTAGTCACTTTAAAATCATCATGTTTCAAGTAAACAGTTTCTGACAAAGAAATTTAATTTGTTCACAGGGAAATTGCTTTGTAGAATTATGTTTCGTGTTGAGGAAAAGGAAATGTAATTGTATATCCTACGCTTTAAACAGACTTGATCGGTACAAGGTTTCAGTTGTTGATAGCTTTAGACTAAATACACTATGAGTGCATAATGCGCCTTTGCTTTATGGCGTTCGGCTCTTTGATTGGCCTGCTCCTAGTTAACCAACCAATCAGAGGCCTAAAGACGATAACGTTTTGTTGACAATAAATAAAAAAAAAATCTTGCACTAGGCACTCAGTCATCAGGGCCGGACAAGCCACCAAAGCGAAGATGTGTTGATGATGAAATGCTATTGGTTGCCCAAAGATCTGCGCTCCGTTCACTTCGTCAAAGGCCTGGTAGAGTTAAGTATTTCAATCATACTATGAAGCAGTACTCATCCTACGAAGTGTATCTGTAGGTCATTAATCAGGATCGGACCAGACTAAAAAAACGAAGATAGCGACGAAATTCTTATTTCAAAATTCAAAGTTGCTTAAAGATTAAAAATTTGGCTAACACTCGGTTTCTGAAAGGCTTGTAAACGCTAAAATTAACTAATCTCCTGTTAAATCTCTTGTCAAGCCATCCGATTGGTTGTTGATAATTCAGTAAACCAATCAGATGACTTGACAAGAGATTAAATTGATTTTAACATTGATCGGCCTTTCGGAATCCGGGTGTACGTATTCTTATCCGAAAGCTTTGATTATGATCTACGTCACCTATGGTTGGTATTAGTTGCATCGACTTTGGGTTAAGATCGGTTATAAATGCCTGTCAATTTGTGGATGTCTGTCAGATATCCTGATCGTAAATTCTTTATGACAGAATTGCAAACTGCTGTTTTGATTTTTAAGGAATACACTATTCATATCTATATTAAAAAAATAAAAGTACTTACTTTAAAGAGTATGTATGCCTAGTCATACTGTTTCCATGCAGAATCTATTGCCACGAAGCAAACTTTTGTACTGAAAAACAGTATTATATTATTGTACGGCATCTCCCCCGCAATACCATTGTAAGGGGTAGGTTATCGCACTATTCATGGTTGCGGTCAAACAATGCGGACATCAACTCTATTCAATACAGAATCGATTGTACCTTTTAATAGTGTTTAGAACAAACTTCGATACATTGAGGCAGAATCGATTTCAAAATGGAATCCCTACACATAATTTAGTCGAATTGAGAGTGTTGTAAAGTTATGTTACGGAAACCTTTTGAAAACGGTTGTATTTCTATATTAATAAGGTTGCTGGTCAAGCGCATTAATGTACCATGGCGTCGACTTCGAGAAGGAGAAGGATTGGTGTGGTATTTAGTCAGTAAGAGTTTGGCACTCCCTCTAGCCCAGGTAGAGAGAAAACACTTGGTGATTTTCCGTCCATACGAAAATAGGTATCTATTTATGTAACGTATATATATATTTAATCAATTTATGTAAACAATCATGAAATGAGGCTCTGGTTTCTATTAATAGAATATTGTAAGTTTCACTTAATTTGCAGATTGCCTAATGCTACGGTTTTGCTCCGCCCGCTATGAGTCACTGCTACGACTAGGCCGGGCCTACGCAAAATGGCTAATAGATAGTTTGATTGCTTACCAAATGTTCCTAAGTGACCACGACAACAAAGCTAATAATTTTCTGTTTTGTGTTTTCGCCACAAACGACTTCAATTATAATTCTTGGCTGATATTTCTCAGAAGTTTAAGTCCGTGCCATGTTTAATATGAATATAGCTACTTAAAATAACTTTTCCACACACTTTTTTATTATCTAGAATAAAATTATATGAATATTATTATAAGCTCTTCTCTGCTAGCACGAAACGCATAAAACTAACAGCTAGAGCTACTCATCGTCATATTTTGAAGAGCGTGGTTAGACAAGTTTAGCTAAAACT